CCACGGGTGTGAGGAGTGTGGGAAAGCCTTCCGAGACAAGAGCGACCTTCGCGTCCATCAGAGAATCCACACGGGGGAGAAGCCCTTCCCCTGCGAGGTCTGCGGCAAATCCTTCCGGGAGAAGAGCAAGCTCATCGTGCACCAGCGGATCCACACGGGGGAGAAGCGCTGCGTTTGCCAGGAGTGCGGGAAATCCTTCCGGGACAAGCATTACCTTCGGGACCACCAGAGAATCCACGCGGGCGAGAGGCCCTACCACTGCGAGGACTGCGGCAGGAGCTTCCGGACGCGGAGCCATTTCACTCTGCACCAGAGGATCCACACGGGGGTCAAGCCCTACGTCTGCAACGAGTGCGGGAAGACCTTCGTCCAGAAGAGCAACCTCGTCAGCCATCAGAGAATCCACACCGGCGAGAAGCCCTTCCCTTGTGAGGAATGCGGGAAGATGTTCCGGGACCGGAAAACCCTCCGGTACCACCGGAGGATTCACATGGGGGAGAAACCCTACCCGTGCCAGGAGTGCGGGAAGACGTTCCGGGACAAGAGCAGCCTGACGGTCCATCAGAACATCCACTCCGGGGAGAAGCCCTTCATCTGCTGGGAATGTGGGCGGAGCTTCCGGGAGAAGATGTACCTGAAGGATCATCAGAGAATCCACACCGGGGAAAAGCCCTTCTCTTGCCAGGAGTGCGGGAAGACGTTCAGAGCCAAGAGGACCCTCACGTACCACGAGAGGATCCACACGGGGGAGAAGCCCTTCCCCTGCCTGGAGTGCGGCAAGACCTTCCGGGGCAAGAGCAGCCTGACGGTCCACCAGAGGATCCACTCGGGAGAGAAGCCGTTCATGTGCTGGGTCTGCGGGAGGAGCTTCCGGGAAAAGATGTACCTCCGGGAGCACCAGAAAATACACCTCGAGGAGAAGCCCTACCCCTGCGGGGACTGCGAGAAGAGCTTCGTCCACAAGAACCACCTCATCCGCCACCAGAAATTCCACGTGGCCTTCTCCATCCAGTGAAGGTGGACGGTGCCGTAAGGACAACGCCAGAGGACCCTCGCACAATGGGGGCCGGCCTTTTTGGCCCAGCAAATGCAACCGCACGGAGGGTTCCCGCGATTTGCCCCGCTGCGTGTTCTGGGTTCGGATTCTGTATAAAGCCGGTGGCAGGGAGTAGCATTAGGAATTAGGAAGAGTCCCGAGACCCGGAGGGGCGATTTTAGCTGCTAAATACCGCACCCCGTAAGCGACGAGGCCCCTTCCTCCGTTTCCGCAGCAACCGTTTTGCCTTGGGAAACGGTTGCATTTATCCTACTGTAGTTGTGTCGAGAGTTTTTGTGTGCGCGGGAGGCAGGGCTGTGCATGGGATTTGCCAAATGAATAGTTAATTGTCGGTTTCGTTTCCCCCTTATTGTAAACGGCCTTGTGGGTTTTTGTTGGCTGAAAGAGGGCCTGTAGATTTGGGGCGGGGGGGATAAACCTACATCAAGATGTGTCTGGGAGCCGCAATAAAATCTATACACTTTGCTGTATGAATTGCTCTTATCCCCTTTCCCCTAAATGTACTCAGTGTGACATGAAGAAATCTGTTCTTTCACATGCCCTGAACCTGCTCCAAATAAATTCCGTTGGGCGGCTCCAAGTTCTACTATTACGAGAGAGAAAATGTTTCTCCACCTACGTTCCGTACGCCACGAATAAGTTTATGTGCCTTTTCCCCCAGATATGGGGATAGCAGTCGTGGTGGCCCCCTGATCCTGGTGGACTACAAATCACATCATCCCTGACCATTGGCACTTGCCGGGGCTGATGGGAGTTGTAGTCCCAAGGATCTAGAAGGTACCAGGTTGACAAATGCTGCAAACAGGACCTTTCCCTGGAGGGGAGTTTGCTCCTGGATCATTTGGGCCGCCCCTTTCTTGCAACTTCCCTTTCCAGCTTAGGAAGTATTATTATTATTATTATTATTTATTAATTTAAACCCCGGCCACCTGGCTGGGTTTCCCCAGCCACTCTGGGTGGCCCCCAACAGGACATTAAAAACACAATAAAAAATCAAACATTAAAAACTTCCCTAAACAGGGCTGCTTTCAGATTTATTGCTAGGCGCCACCCCAATCTCGTGAGTGGTTCTGGATTCCAGGGGTTCCAGGCACTTTTACTTAGGGTCCGGCCTCCTTGGAAGGAGAGTCAGCCGAGACTGTGCTGTCTTGGGGATATGTGGTTTTATTTACACATACACTAGCAGCCGAAATTGTGGAAACCTTTTGGGAAAAGTGTATTTCTGAGGCTTGATGGCTCATAACACCACTTTTGTTTGGAGTAATACCATAAAATTATCTCTCTCTTTTAATACCTTTATTGAAGTTCATTTATATCATAGTAAAGTAAAGGTAAAGGGACCCCTGACCATTCGGTCCAGTCGTGGCCGACTCTGGGGTTGTGGTGCTCATCTCGCTTTATTGGCCGAGGGAGCCGGCGTACAGGTCATGTGGCCAGCATGACTAAGCCGCTTTTGGCAAACCAGAGCAGCGCACGGAAATGCCGTTTACCTTCCTGCCGGAGTGGTACCTATTTATCTACTTGCACTTTGACATGCTTTCAAGCTGCTAGGTTGGCAGGAGCAGGGACCGAGCAACGGGAGCTCACCCCGTCGCGGGGATTCGAACAGCCGACCTTCTGATCGGGAAGCCCAAGAGGCTGTGTGGTTTAACCCACAGCGCCACCCGCGTCCCTTTTATTGATATCATACACAATATTAAATTTGAACAGTGCCATAGACAGTATATCACTGTTGTTGTTTTGGTAGATATCTCTTGAACATACCCCATTTTTGAATGAATGATTGTTTTGTGTTAGCCTTTTTGTTAGTTAAGCCATTTCTGCAAATTCTAGGAGTTTGTTTTACCATTCCCTTAAGGTCGGTACTCCCCCACCCCTCCCAATTCAATGCTATTAATAGTCGGGCGGCAGCTGTTGCTTATAAGAAGATTTCTCTTATATTTTTCAGGCTATCTCTACCTAGAATTCCAAACAGAAAGGCTTCTGGCTTCTTTATGAATGTTAATTTAAAGATTTTTTTTCATCTCATCATATATGAGATTCCAAAACACTCTGATTTTTCTGCATGTCCACCACATATGGTACAAATCTCCTTCTGTTTCTCTGCACTTCCAGCACTTATTTGAATTATTTGTATACATCTTGGAGAGCATTGATGGTGTAAGGTACCATCTGAACTGCATTTTCATCATATTTTCTTTAATGGCGTAACATGCAGTAAAGTTCATATTAGTTTTCTAGAGAGTTTCCCATTCACTGATCCTAATAGTCAGCCCGATGTCCTGCACCCATTTTATCACCTTCACCTTCCCAGTCAAGGAGGAGTCAGTACACCCTGGAAACGATCTTAGTGTTATTATTTAGCAATTTTCTTTCAAATCTAGAGGGCTCCTTGGCAAATCCGTAAAATTATATCTCAATGGAAAGGTAATTTAATAAAGAATGTAATGCAACAAAGTTTGTTCAGTTACCTGTTTTCTATCAAATATTATCGCATAGTAACCAGAAAAAGGGTCTTTAGGGAGCCAATAAACCTCGGAAACACACGTTCCCCCAAAGGTTTCCACAATCTGAGCATGAGATTGTGGGCAGGGAGGCTCACGTCATTAGCACCCAAACGGATCCTGCTTCTCTTTTAGTCACAGCTTTGGATCCAGCACGGAGCAAGCAGGTCTCTGTGTCTCCAGCTTCCAGCTCAGCTCACCCACAATTCTCTGCCTGATTTCTCTCCTACTTAGCAGCCAGGCAAGGGAGGTGGAGGAAAGGCCCATCCATTTGCTTGGAGGACACCACCACTTAGCTGTTACTCTCGCAATTATTAATATTTATAAAAGTAATAGTAATTTATTATTTGTACCCTGCCCATCTGGCCGGGTTTCCCCAGCCACTCTGGGCGGCTTCCAACAAAGATTAAAAATACATTAAAAGGTCACATTAAAAACGTCCCTGAACAGGGCTGTCTTCAGATGTCTTCTAAAAGTCAGATAGTTCTTTATTTCCTTGACATCTGATGGGAGGGCATTCCACAGGGCAGGTGCCACCACTGAGAAGGCCCTCTGCCTGGTTCCCTGTAGCTTTGCTTCTCGCAGTGAGGGAACTGCCAGAAGGCCCTCGGTCCTGGACCTCAGTGTCCGGGTAGAACGATGGGGGTGGAGACGCTCCTTCAACTATACTGGGCCAAGGCTATTTAGGGCTTTAAAGGTCAGCACCAACAGTTTGAATTGTGCTCGGAAACGTACTGGGAGCCAATGTAGGTCTTTCAGGACCGGTAGCGGCCGCTCCCAGTCACCAGTCTAGCTGCCGCATTTTGGATTAGTTGCAGTTTATGGGTCACCTTCAAAGGGAGCCCCACGTAGAGTGCATTGCAGTAGTCCAAGTGGGAGATAACCAGAGCATGCACCACTCTGGCCAGACAGTCCATGGGCAGGTAAGGTCTCATCCTGCGTACCAGATGGAGCTGGCAGACAGCTGCCCTGGACACAGAACTGACCTGTGCCTCCATGGACATCTGTGAGTCCAGAATGACTCCCAGGCTGCACACCTGGTCCTTCGGGGGCACCGTTACCCCATTCAGGACCAGGGAGTCTTCCACACCCGCCTGCCTCCTGTCCCCCAGGAACAGTACTTCTGTCTTGTCAGGATTCAACCTCAATCTGTTAGCCGCCATCCATCCATCTTTCAGCCAAGAACCATGGGGTGGTTTGCATCCTAGCTCATTATTCTGAGCTGCTGACAGAAAGGGCCCCATCAAACCTCAATCCGGCCCTGAATTGCTACCGATTTGAATGGAAAGATGATTTTCATAGGGTAGGGGGGCACCGGTGGTGCATTGATGGGACCAAGAGGGTGGTGGTCCCCAGAATTAGGAGATCCCCCCCCCAGCGCGCTCTATAAATCCTAGGGAGTTGCAAGAAAAGGGTCCACGTCGCCTCCACCCCCGTGAACCAGAGGAGAGAGGAGGCCTGGGAAGCTGGAGGGAGGAGCCGCGCTGCAAAAAAAGGAGGAGCGTTTTGCAGCAGGGAAGGCGAAGAAGCAGCCGGACCGGGTCTTGCGCTTTGCAGCCGGGTTGCCAACTGACCCGAAGGAAGCCCCGCCCTCGGCTGCTCTTGCGCCTCCCCGATGCCCTGCTACGCCCGGGGAGGGAGGAGCCGCGTTGCACGAAAAGGGGAAAAGAAGCGCTCTCTTTTTGCAGGAAAGGCGCCCGGCCTGTGCCTTCCGCTACCCCGTGACGTCGGGAAAGGGAGGAGCCGCCTTGCAAGGAAGAAAGGCCTTTCTTGCACAAGAGGCTTCTTTGCAGCTTCGCCTCTGCAGCCGCGTTGCCAACTGACCCGGAGGAAAGCCTGGGCGGCTGCTGCTGCTGCGCCTTCTTGCCGCCGCGCGAGCTTCTTGCTCCAGGATGGAGGTAAAAGCGCCTCTGCCTTTTTGCAATGCACCGCCTGCCCCGAGCAGGCCGGGCTCCCTTTCCCCGGCCCGGCAAGCGCCCCTTCGCCGCTGCCGCCGGGCTCTTTGTTCCCGCTGGCGGGCCGGGCGCGATGGAGGCGCGCGTAAAGCGCCGCGCGTAAAGCTCCGGCCCGCAGCGCCTTTCCAAGCGCTGGAGGGGGCCGCCTGCGCCCTCCAAGGGAGAAGTTGGGGGAGAGATCGCTGGTGGGAGGGGAAACATTTCGGGATTCGAACCCAGAACAGCAGCAATTTGGGCCCGGCACCTATTTCCCAGGCCTGGAGGAGGAGGACCTGAGTGGTCCAGCTCACTCAAGGTTGCTTATACTGGCCGCCAGCGGCTCTCCAGAAATCATCATCATCGATGCTGTTTTTGTAGAAAAATGGGTTGCTGAGCTCACCTGAGAGGTGCTGGAACTGAGTTCTGGTTGAAACCAAGCCTTGATGATGATGTTGAGGCTTATAGATTTTCATTTTGCGTGTACCTGCAGCAGATTGAAGGGGCATTGCAATAGGTGGAAAGTAAAGGATGAACAAAATTATAAAAGAGGCAAGCAGAATGTGGTGCCCACCCTGTGAACCGCCCTCCCACCAGATGTCAAAGAAATAAACAACTATCTGACTTTTAGAAGACAGCTGAAGGCAGCTGCAGTTTGACGGATTACTATGTTTTAATATTTTGCTGGAAGCTGCCCAGAGTGGCTGGGGAAACCCAGCCAGATGGGCGGGACATTAATAATAATAATAATAATAAAATGGGCAGAGGTTAGAATAGCAAAGCCATGAATGCCCTAAGCTCAAGGAAGGCAGAATCATATAAAAAATGAGGTTCTAGTCCTGGTCGAAATCTCAGATTATTTGTAATTTTCTCCATGACAGCTCTGTTCCAGAGTGAGTGGCCCCAAGCATTTGGTGTTAAATTTTGGGCTGCTTTCCACTGAGCTGCAATTGCTATTCGTCCTGCCAAGATAATATATCCTTTGAACAATACATTTCCATTGGTATTACCAACAAACCTCTGAACTGTTCTTATACATCTTGGCCAATTTGGCTGGGGTTAGGTACCATCTGTATAACATCTTCATTATGTTTTCTCTAATATTGTCACCGCATGTCATCCAGATTTGCCTTTGGCACTCAGCCTTGACACTGGTCTGTAATAATAATAATAATAATAATAATAATAATTTATTATTTGTACCCTGCCCATCTGGCTGGGTTTCCCCAGCCACTCAGGGCAGCTTCCAACAAAGATTAAAAATACATTAAATTAAATTACATTAAATTACATTACTTCCATATTCCAGAAAACCTGAGGCAGTCGTAGGGTTTGTTTTTGGGATGAGGAGGGTTGTGTTGTGGCAAACCTCGGCATTTTCACAGAGATATGTTGGCTTCCATCACAGCTTTGACTTCCTGCATTGCCGTGGGTTGGGCTGGGTGACCTTTGGGGGGGTCCCTTCCCACTCTACAATTCTACGTCCTCATTTCCGCAGGTGACATTTGAGGACGTGGCCGTCTACTTCTGCCGGGAAGAGTGGGCGGAATTAATTCCGTGGCAGAAGGAACTCTACCGGGGTGTGATGGTGGAAAACTACGAGGCGGTCCTTTCCGTGGGTAAATATACTGCCGTCCTCTGGAACTCGGTTCGCTGGCGGGGAGGGTGAGGCTGTGGTGGTTGGTCCAGTGGTCCAACACTGGTTTCATTTGCAGAGCCCATTAGTTACTCAGAAGTAGACTGCCTCTGCCTCTGGAGGTTCAATTTAGCTCTCACGGCTGTTTGATTGATAGGCCCATCGTCCTCCATGAATTTCCCTTTCTTAATCATATTTTAAAAAATTGATGTACATACAATTTAACAAATTTAGTTCCGTTTCCGTACAGTAACCCCTTAGCATTTTGTCTTTTCCACCCTTACTTCTGTGATGTTTCTGTTTAAATCCTTTTCTCTACTGCCTTAAAAATAATACTTATTTCTAATACACATATCCTACGTTACATTCCTTTATCATTCTCATTCCTTTCCAAACCTGCCTGCAGTTTCATTTGACTCAGATAATCTGAAACAGGGTCCATGAAATTTCTCTGCATTTCTGCCCAGGCTCAGAGAGTTCGTCCTTCTCACTGAAGGTGGGCAGCCGCAAACAGCACGATATTCATGCTCTTTTCACAGCATCTGAGACTGAGAGATATACTGCCCCTGACTGTGGAGATTCTGTTAAGCAGCCATCAGAGCTAATAGCCATTGAGAGATTATCCTCCAGAGTTGGTGGGTTAAATGCCTTCCGTAAAGAGGCAAATGGTGGCACTGCCCACCATTTGACTTCAATGGGTGACCTCCAGCGTATTGGGAAAGGGGCAGAATTCGTCCCTGGCTGCTGGATCTGTGGGAATGTTCAGGGATGCAGGAGAGGATATATTGTCTGATTATGGCCTTTCCAACTTGTGTAAACAAGTTCACAATTTAGCAGAGTAACATTCCCCCTTTTAAACTTACAGCGGCTGCGTTTGCTCAGGCTCGCTAAAGCCTCTATAATAACTGTTCTGGTATTTCCCCCTTATTCCCTCATAAAAGATAAGACACAACACAGTCTTCTAGAAAAGTATAAAAAGAGTTTACTCACTCACATTCTGTTCACAAGTGGATCCCAGAAGGCAGACTTAGCTTAGAAAAGTAACATATACCTGGAAAGTATCTCATAAGGAGACAGTCCCTTTGTTTTTTTGTTTTGTTTTTGTTTTTGTTTTTTTTCCTTTTAAATAATGTTTATTATTTTCCAAAAACTTAAACACTAAAAAAAAAACCAACAATCAAACAATACAATGCAACGCTTTACAATAAATCAACAAAACAATACAATACATTAAATCAACAAAACAGTACAAAAGCAACAACAAAAAAGAAAAAATCAACCATTTTCGTTATTCATCTTTCATTCTCTTATTTCCACGACCTCCTCACACCTCCCTTTTTGTTTTTTTGTTTTTTATATAATGTTTATTGGGTTTTACAAAAAGATACAAAAATCACAAAACAACAAAAACAGAAAAATAAAATAAAAATAACAATAAAAAATAAAAAAAAAACAGTTTAAAATTTCTACTCTCTTTTAACCTTAATCTCCTCTCCTTAGTTCTTTGACCTCCTCACACCTCCCCGCTTGCATTCCCATTTAAAAAGTCCTTTCAGCAAATCCTTACCCTCTTTCCTTTATCTTAACTCGAAAACTTAACCTATTATAAGTAAATATTTTTAACCATTATCAGTCTATATTTACATACTCTTATAAGCAAAACTTTTTACCAATACCACTTATTTTAAATCAGACATCATTTTAACATTCATTAATTTTACAGTATTTCTACAGATAGTCTTTAAATTTCTTCCAATCTTCTTCCACCAACTCTTCTCTCTGGTCACGGATTCTGCCAGTCATTTCTGCCAATTCCATGTAGTCAATCACCTTCGTTTGCCATTCTTCCAAGGTGGGTAAATCTGGTGTCTTCCAATACTTTGCGATGAATATTCTTGCTGCTGCTGTTGCATACATAAAGAAAGTTCTATCTTTCTTTGGCACCAATTGGCCAACAATGCCCAAGAGGAAGGCCTCTGGTTTCTTCAAGAAGGTATATTTAAATACCTTTTTCAACTCATTATATATCATTTCCCAGAAGGCCTTAATCTTTGGGCACGTCCACCAAAGGTGAAAGAATGTACCTTCAATTTCTTTACATTTCCAACATTTATTATCGGGCAAATGATAGATTTTTGCAAGCTTGACTGGGGTCATGTACCACCTGTACACCATTTTCATTATGTTCTCTTTTAAAGCATTACATGCTGTAAACTTCGTACCTGTGGTCCATAACTGTTCCCAGTCAGCAAACATGATGTTGTGTCCAACATCCTGTGCCCATTTAATCATAGCAGATTTTACCGTTTCATCCTGAGTATTCCATTTTAACAGCAAGTTATACATTCTTGAAAGTATTTTCGTTTTGGGGTCTAACAGTTCTGTTTCTAACTTTGATTTTTCCACCTGGAAACCAATTTTTCTGTCCGAATTGTAAACCTCTCTTATTTGATAATAGTGAAACCAGTCTCGCACTCTATCTTTTAGTTTCTCAAAGCTCTGCAATTTCAGTTTGTCTCCTTCTTGTTCCAAGATCTCCCAATATTTTGGCCACTTGGCCTCCATATTGAGCTTTTTCAGGGCCTTTGCCTCCATTGGTGATAACCACCTTGGGGTTTTGCTTTCAAGTAAGTCCTTGTATCTTATCCAGACATTGAACAATGCTTTCCTGACAATATGGTTTTTAAATGCTTTATGAGCTTTGACCTTGTCGTACCACAAATATGCATGCCACCCGAAAACATTGTTGAAACCTTCTAAATCCAAAATGTCTGTGTTCTCAAGAAGCAGCCAGTCCTTCAGCCAGCAAAAAGCTGCTGATTCGTAATAAAGTTTAAAGTCTGGCAGGGCAAATCCCCCTCTTTCTTTAGCATCAGTTAATATTTTAAATTTTATTCTGGGCTTCTTGCCCTGCCAGACAAATTTAGAAATGTCTCTCTGCCACTTCTTAAAACAGTCCATTTTATCTATTATTTGTATCGATTGAAACAAAAACAGCATTCTTGGCAATACATTCATCTTGATGACAGCAATTCGACCTAACAAGGAAAGCTTCAAATTTGTCCATATTTCTAAGTCCTTTTTAATGTCCGACCAACACTTTTCATAATTGTCCTTAAATAAATTCCCATTTTTGGCTGTCATATTAATCCCCAAGTACTTCACTTTCTTTACCACTGTTAAACCTGTCTCATTCTGAAACCTCTCTCTTTCAATCGGTGTTAGATTCTTCTCAAGTACTTTAGTTTTTAACTTATTCAACTTGAAACCTGCCACTTGACCAAACTCTTGGATCAGTTCTAGTACTCTTTTAGTAAGAGTACTAAATGTAAGCTCCTGTAATGTCAATACAAGGTCATCTGCAAAAGCTTTCAGTTTATATTGCTTTGCTCCGACCGTTATACCCTTAATCAAATGGTCCCTTCTTATCATATTTAACAGAACCTTCAGAACGGAAATAAAAAGTAATGGGGAAATTGGGCAACCTTGTCGTGTCCCTTTCTCTATCTTAATTTCCTCTGTTATCACATTATTAACTATTAATTTGGCCTTTTGTTCTGAATAAATTGCATTTATACCATTTTCAAACTCTTGGCCTACCCCCATCCCCTGGAGATTTTTCTTCATAAAGCTCCAAGAAATATTGTCAAAGGTTTTCTCTGCATCCACAAAAATCAAAACTGCTTTAGTATTAATCTCTTCTTGCAGCTTCTCCAGGATATTAATTATATTCCTCGTGTTATCAGAGAGATGTCTATCTGGAAGAAAGCCAGCTTGGTCCTTATGAATCTCTTCTTTTAACACTTTTTTAAGCCTTTTTGCCAAAATATCAGCAAAAATTTTGTAATCCACATTTAACAGGGATATGGGCCGGTAGTTCTTGACCTGTGTCTTTTCAGTCTCTGATTTTGGTATAAGTGTAATGTATGCTTCTTTCCACGACTCTGGCGCTCTTTTCCCCTCTAGAATTTCATTGCAAACCTCCATTAACGGTCGAATTATCCAATCTTTCAGGGTTCTGTAGTATTTTGAGGTTAAGCCGTCCGGTCCTGGAGATTTTCCCAGCTGCATATTCTGGATGGCACCTTCTACCTCCTGTTCCGTAATTTTATAGTTCAACAGTGTCTTATTATCTTGAGAGATTTTTTGTAATCCATTGGTCTTCAAGAATTGATCTATTTCAAATTCTTTCTGAGGCCCTTGTGTATATAGTTGTTTAAAATACCTCTGGAAACATTTCCTAATTTCCGCTGGATTCTGGATATTTTTCCCTTCCACTTCCAAATTGGTAATAGTATTAAGTTTTTGTCGTTTCTTCAACTGCCAAGCTAGCAGTTTCCCACATTTATTTGCCGATTCAAAAGTCTTTTGTCTCATTTGTTTAATTTTCCATTCCACTTCCTGATTTATCATTTTCATATACTGAACTTGATACAATTTTATTTCCCTCAGAATCTCTTGTGAGTTGGGCTTCACTCTCAGTTTCTTCTCGCCCTCCTTTATTTTTTCCAAAATTTTTTCTTTCTTTACATTTTGGGCCCTCTTCTTTACTGAATTCTGTTGAATCAGGAAGCCCCTCATAACCGCTTTACTTGCGTCCCAGATTGTTCTTTTTTCCACAGCTGTATTCAAATTTATCTCAAAATAGTCTCTCAAAGTTTTTTGGGCCTTCTTGATCACCTCTTGATCTCTAAACAAGGTGTCATTCATCCTCCATCGGAAGGAACCAGTGGATGTTAGCTTCATCTCCATTCTCACGGCGTTATGGTCGGAGCATGTCTTTGGGCAGATCTCTACCTTCCTAACCTTAGGTGCCAGTCCTCTAGTAGTCCAGATTTGGTCAATTCTTGTCCATGTCTTTTGGGCTTCAGAGAAAAAGGTTCCCTCTCTACCAAGGGGATTCCTAGTTCTCCAAATGTCAATCAAGTCCATATTGTCAGTCAGTTCAAAAAAAGTTTTCGGTAGTCTGCCATCTTTAGTGACTACCTCTGTTTGCGACTTGTCCATATTTGTGGATACCACCCCATTCATATCTCCCATCAAAACGATGTTATGGTCCATATAGTCCATCAAAGTCTCATGCAACTTTTTATAAAATATAGATTTCCCCTCGTTCGGTGCATACAGGCCTACTATCAAAAATTTTTCTCCTTGTGCTTGAATTTCAATTGCTATAAATCTTCCTTGATCATCTTTAAAGACGAATTTCGGTGACAGGCTCTCTTTTGCATAAATGACCACTCCTCGTTTTTTAACTTTATCTGATGAAATAAATTCTTGGCCCAGCCTCTTGTTAATCAATATTTTCCTATGTAGCCTTGTCACATGCGTTTCCTGTAGACAAATTAAGTCCAATTGTTCTTTTTTGAGTATGTGAAATACTTTTTTCCTTTTTTCCGGGGCATTAAAACCACGAATATTCCAGGTTAATAGTTGCAGAGACATGATGTATTTAGCTTACTTGGGTGGCTTTGAAAGAGGATCATGCGAATCCATGGAGGAGGAGAGGGCTATAGAGGGCTCCTGGCCAGGAGGGCTCTGTTCCACTTTCCTGGGCGCTTCCCGTAACAGGCATCTGGACAAGATGCCTGCATTGCCGGGGTTGGACTAGATGACCCGCAGGCCCCCTTCCAACTCAACAATTCTCTGATTCTCTGATGCTGGACTACGTGGGCCCCTGGCCTGAAATACTGCCAAAATAAAATGAAAGTGTCTCTCTCCCACGCAGGCCGCTTGTCTGTGAAACCGGAGATCATCAGCAAAATCGAACGGGAGGAGGCCGAGCTGTGCATCGGAGAGTTTTGGAAGCCCCCCCAGTGGAGAGACCCTTCGGGCCAGTGGCTAGGTCAGTAGTCCATGTTGCGTTCTAGTTCCCCCCACTCTTTTTGTTTTGTTGTTGTTTTTTTGAATTTTTTTTATTAGAAATTTCAACATAACAATTAATCAAAAACACATCATCTTCATTTTTCCTCCCCATTTTTCCCTCCCCAAGAAAGAAAAACCCACCCTCCCGCGCACCCTCCGACTTCCCTCAGCTCCTCTCTGGATTTTCAGCACATGTTATTCTCTGCATATTATAAAATTGTAAAGATCCTTAATTTATCTATCTATATGTTACCAATAAAAAGTTTGTGAGTGTTTATTCAAAGCCTGCCAAGGAGTCCAGTTCATTTTGTTGTTTCTTAAAGTACTTTGTGAAAGGTTCCCATTCTTCTTTAAAGTCACAGTTGTGCTTATCACGGAGTTTATGTGTCAACTTTGCCAATTCCGCCTAGCCCATCAGTTTCTCTTGCCACTGTTCTTTTGTCGGGATTTCTTCGTTCTTCCATTCTTGTGCCATTAAGACTCTTGCTGCCATTGTCACGTAGGTAAAGATGTTTTTCAATTTCCTTGCCAGGTCTTTCCCTACAGTCCCTAACAAAAATGCTTCAGGCTTTTTTGCAAATGTTAATTGGAACATTTTCTCTAACTCATTATATATCATTTCCCAGTATTTTTTAATTTTACTACAATCCCACCACATATGGTAAAAGGTCCCTCCTTCTCTCCCCCCCCTTTTGAAAGCTGCACAACAGCCCTTTGAGGTAGACTGGCCTTAAATTCGCCCTGCAAGATCTTTGCAGCCAGGAGGTCTTTACCGTAGAGCTCAGAGCTGGAGCTCTTGCTTTTCAGGCAAAAGACCAGCAGGTCCAGTCCTTGACGTCTTCTGATCGGATTGGGAGACAGCCCTGCTGGAGAACTGCTGCCAACCAGTGCAGACACCACTGAGCTAGACAGGCTAATAGATCTGACGTAGCAGAAGGCGACTTCCTGAGCTGAATTGTCAACCAGCCCCTTTTCCAGAACCATGAGGACTAGAATATTGTTTTATTTTTCGGGGAAAGAGCTGCCGCCAGCCAGTGTAGACAGCCCTAGGTGGCCCAATAGATCTGGGTTGGGGCCAGGTGACTTCCTGTGTTTCCGCAAAGGTCCACGAGAGTTGCACACTGCCAAGTGGGGTGGTGGGGGCCCTGTTGCTTCCCCTAGCCCTGGCCGCAGTGGTGGGACTCTGATCCCGGCTTGCCTCACAGGGTTGTTGTTGCGACACTGACACGGGAGGGCAGGCCTTGCGGGAAAGTCGGGAGGCCCAAGTTCCAGCTGCTGCCTTAAATGTCTCTCCAAAGCCCTGTATTCCTGTTGTGGAAAGAGCTGATTTAATGGCTGAGTTAAACGGGGTTAAAGTACCAGTCTGCTTAGTACCATCTGACATTGGCATCTTAGACCCTTGGCAGGCTGCACATTTGTTATCTGCCAGCTTGTTTTGCACAAGACTTGCACCACACTGCCCGTGGGCTGGCCCTTGTTTCAAAGCATCGCCAAGTCCTGAAACAGTTCCAGAGAAAGTGCTTCTTGCAGGCCTTGTGTAAACTACTGTGCTCGCTGCAACAGGTGGCACGGCTGCTGGTGAGTTTGTGGTTGAGGAAGCAAAGCCAGGACTCTTTAAAATACCCAGCACACTTCCTTCTTTCAGGATTTTGCAGGCTTAAAGAGACCATCATACTCATGTTTGCGCTTTGATGCTATTGACCACTGCATTACACAGAGGCAAGACTGGGGTATCCTTGGGTCCTGAAGGATCAGATGCTTTTGCAACAGGAGCACTAAATTTGAATGCACCAGGGACACTGACGGCAGTACAGTGTTGCAATTAGAGATGATTTTGCAATTAGAGATGAAAATCTGTTCACAGGACTGCCGGCATTACTGGCCGGTTGCAGCTTTTTAGCCACTGATTGCACAGAACTGTCAGGCGAAGATGAGGCAATATTTTGGCAAAGGTGACTGTTATGTACTGAAGTTCTCACCCTGGGCCAGCAGGGGGATACTGTAGATAGTTATGCAAATAAGGGATCAAAAGTGACATTCAGTGATTGGATAGTTTTAGGAAATTGTTAGAGTTATGTTGTACTGGAGCTCTATATAAGCAGGCAGACTGAACCCTTCAGTTCAGTTCTGTTCTGGCCTGTGAATAAACAAGAGCTGTTTGAAGAAACGTTGTGTCGTCTGATATGTTCACCCACAACTTAGCAGTGACGTACTGATGGGCAAAGATATTTCTGGTAGCGCTGGCATATCCATTTCCTCTTGTGCAGGTTTTGATACATAGCGGACACCTCTTTCCCTTCTCATCTTGCTGCCACCACCTCCTACTGAAGGAGGAAGGCTGTTGGTTGCAGAGGTACTGAACCTGGGAGTTTGTGAAGCTTTCTGACGATTCTGTCTTCTGGTCTACGGCCAGATTTTTCTCTTGTACAGCGGTACCTCTGGTTGCGAACGGGATCCGTTCCGGAGCCCCGTTCGCAACCTGAAAGAAACGCGACCCATGTCTCTGCATGCGCGGGTCGCAATTCGCCACTTCTGCGAATGCGCGTGACGTCCTTTTGCGCGTCTGCACATGCGCGAGTGGCGAAACCTGGAAGTAACCCTTTCCGGTACTTCCGGGTCACCGCAGGATGCAACCTAAAAAAATATATCATGAAGCAAACGTAACAAGAGGTATGACTGTACTCCCTTATGGATCATCTCTGTTCTCTGTCAAATCTTGCGAAAGTCGGAAGGTGGACAACTGTCAATAAAACGTGTCTCAGTCCTGCTGGCAGATTGTATGTGAGATTTCTCCCCCAGCCCCCCGTCAAGGACGCTGACTCCCTTTCCTTTCTTCCCGGCAGGAGATGGCATCAGGATGGCAGACGATGAAGACCTCGAAAGGGCAGCCCCCATTCGGCGGCGGCGAGGGAGAAGGAAGAAGGTCCCATCTTCAACAACGGAGAAGCAGACAGCGATCGTGCCCCCCAAGAACAAGGGGCCCCCGAAGTTGACGCTGAAGATGAAACCTCCAAAGTGCCCCGAGTGCGGCAAGAGCTTCCTGAGCAACGTGGCGATGGTCATCCACATCCGGACGCACACCGGGGAGCGGCCCTTCAAGTGCCACCTGTGCCCCAAGGGCTTCCCCTCGCGGGGGGACCTGAAGCGGCACATCAAGACCCACCTGCGCCCCAAACGGAGCCCGCCTCCCCCCGTGGAGGCCGCCTGCGGGGGCAAGAAGCGCCTGGCCGCCAAGCTGCAGCTGCTGAGCCACCTGCAGCGCCCGCCGGACCCCCAGAAGCCCCACGTGTGCGCCCAGTGTGGGAAGGGCTTTGGCACACCCCAGAGCCTCCAGAAGCACCAGGGGACCCACTCCACTGAGCGCCCCTTCTCGTGCGCCCAGTGCGGGAGCAGCTTCCGCCTGAAGCAGATCCTGGTGGCGCACATGGACTGCCACGCCACCGAGCGCCCCTACCCGTGCCAGGAGTGCGGGAAGACGTTCGTGCAGGAGCGTGGCCTCCGCAGCCACCAGCTGGTCCACACGGGCGAGAAGTGCTTTTTGTGCGAGGCCTGCGGGCGCCGCTTTGCCTACAAGCAGCACTTCCTCAAGCACCTCCGCCTGCACACCGGGGAGCGGCCCTTCTCGTGCGCCGAGTGCGGGAAGACCTTCCGGGACCGGGCGACGCTCAGCATCCACAACCGGATGCACACGGGTGAGCGCCCCTACAGCTGCCCGTTCTGCGGCAAGGCCTGCCGGCAAAAGCAGCACCTCAACAGCCACCTGAAGGTGCATCGGGGAGAGGTGCTCCCCCCCAGCGACGGCACGGGACGGACCCTACAGAAGGCCTGGGCGAAGGAGAAGCCCCACGCCTGCCCCAGGTGCGAGAAGCGCTTCCGCGACAAGCGGGTCATGAGGGCCCATCTGCTGACTCACGACCAAGAGTCCTTGTCCGCCGGGGACGCTGGCCCGGCCCAGGCAGAGACCAAATCCGCCAGCGGGAGAGGCGGGGGCCGGAAGCAGCCCGCCTCTCTGCATGCAACTGCGCCCCCTGAAAAGTTGCCTTTTGGGTGTGCTCATTGTGGGAGGAAGTTTCCCCAGCGGAAATCCCTCCTGTTGCATCAGAGGAGCCACAGGTGAGGAGGGATGGCTCCCGCTGAGAGTCCAATCCTGGCGTCCTTTTGGGAAGGAGCCTTGCATTTTGACAGCGGTACATCATACTGAGCAAGTCAAACCTCATGAAGAAAGCAACTCGTGCCGTGCCCTCCGATTAGTTCCTGAGACCAAAAGTCCCCGTCATTGCAGGGCTTTCCCCAAGCAATCGGAGACTGCGCCTGCAAGAAGCCTCTCTCTCCCCTGCCCTTTTCATGCCTCTTCTGGATCTGGGAGAGCATGGCAGAGGAGAGCTTGTTGCAGCAGGAGGGGGAGACGCCGATGCCTCTTCCCCAGCCAGACCCATCTCTGCCTCTTGGTCTCCTTCCTCTCCTGCCTCAGCTTCTGCCTCTGATTCCGGACTGCTCTCTGCCACAGACTCCTCCCGCTCACTAAGCCCTGTTGCCTCTTCAGCTTCTGACACCTCCTTTTCCCAGTCTTCTCCTTCCCATTCATTGGCCTTCCACTGCCCCTCCCCAGGCTCTGAGCCTTCTTCCCTTGGGGGTTCGCCGGCTGGTTCCTGCTCCCATTCATTTGTGTCCGACAATTCCATGACAGATAAAAACATGCCAACCTGCTTGGTTCCCAAACGATTTTGGCCAACCCCCCTTCCTGCTGGGACAATGCAGGAGTGCTCCTTTGGGGATGAAGTCAAACCACTGAAGAGTCACAGCGCCTGCTGTGGCTGCAGAAACCGATGCAGGAGAGACATGTTTCGTTGCAGTTGGGGCAGAGGAAGGCGCCCGGTTGTTCTGCTGCAGATAAACCTATAAAAAGCATTCTTCAGCCTAGCGGTGTGCATGACCCACTGTGGAAGATAACAGCACCATAAAATTCAAAAGAGAAATGCTCAGTTGCAGTTTTTCAAAATGCAATTACACCTGTTTTTCAAAGTTTGATAGTCGTTTACTCCCCTCTTGAGCTGCCCCAGTTTGGGAGTGACTGGCCCAGCCTGAAAAGGGCCCATGGGAATCTCTAACTGGGAGTGACCTTGTTCCCTTTAATGATTCTTCTGTGTGGGCCAGACCCCTCTCTATCCTGCCCGCCCCCATTCCTTGTGTTTCTAGAAGTGGGGAATTTCAAGTTTGAAAAAAGATATGCAAATGTTAATATGAAATACCCAGTATCTTGGAATATTAAAGACGAACCAATTAAACAAAACCAAACTGAAAAGGGGAAAAGAAAAAGGAGAACTTCAAAATATCTACCCCAACAATTCTGCGTTCTATAAACTAATGTTTTCTTCAATCCTCAAACGCTGATCTCACAAGTTGATTTTCTTTTTCACACAAAAGCTCCGTAAGAAGTTGTAGTAAATATCGACAATGATTTTTCTCTTAATGAAACACATCAATTTCACCATCTTAGCTAGGAGCCATTCTTTCGTGGTAGAACCAACAGGTTGTTTTGACCCAGGCCAGCGCTAAGAGAGAGCGGGGAAGAAAAATCTGTGGCAGAGAGTTCCACAGTTTAACTGTTATTATTAATGTACAGTGGTACCTCGGGTTACATGCACTTCAGGTTACAGACTCCGCTAACCCAGAAATATTACCTCGGGTTAAGAACTTTGCTTCAGGATGAGAACAGAAATTGTGTTCCAGCGGTGCAGCGGCAGCAGGAGGCCCCATTAGCTAAAGTGGTGCTTCAGGTTAAGCACAGTTTCAGGTTAAGAACGGACCTCCGGAACGAATTAAGTACTTAACCCGAGGTACCACTGTATTCTGTACGCATTCTTCACCCCAAGTTCCCAGGGTGTGTTACAGCATTAAAAACAACATTAAAAACCATTTGAAACTGTGCTCCATGAGGTGCTTCCTTGTCTCTGTCCTGACAGGAGATGTGAAAGTGAATTGGTGCTTACATGTCAGAGAAGAAGCTGCCTTGGTCTGTTGCAAGAAATGCAATGTCGGAGGCATGCGGCACCTTCAGAGACCCAGCAAAAGTTCTTGCAAGAAGTGTGGTGCAATGCACATATGTGGTTTGAGGATCAGGAATGTAAGCAGCCAGGTCTGGAGGAAAGGAAGTGTGGAAAGGGCAGGTGGCGATAATGACCTCACTGGCAAGAGATTGCATTTCAGCCTCTTCACGTATCCTAACGCAGCAGGTCCATGTTCCAAGTACGGTACTGTGATCTTCAAACTGCTGTGGACTGTAATAAATTTGTTGTGATTTGTAAAGTTAGTGCCTTAAAGGAGAGCAAGAAAAATTCAAACAATAGCAATCAAATTTCCTAGAATGTAGATTGTATAGCTATATATCTCATAGTCAAGCAATATACAAAAAGAGAATGTAAGAATTCTCTTTAAGGTGCCGTGAAACACTTTTTGTGGTATTTTAAGTGAAACGCTGGAAGTTTCTGGATCCAGAGCACATTATTTGAAGTGCAACATGGAGCCGTTTCAAATAAACATTTATATAAAATGAGCAAGAACTTTCTGAGTTGCATAGGCTGCAACCCAACACCCACCATAAAACACAGGAAGCTCCCTTATACTGAGATATAGCTAGTCCTATATTGTCTACACTGACTGGCAGCAGCCACAGGATTTCAGACATTCCCAGCCTCTACCAGGAAACTGGCGATGGCACCTGGGGCCTTTGCATGGAGGGCAGGTGGTCTACCACTGAGTTATGGCCTTCCCAAACAAGACATGTCCTTCTGCTGAGTCAGACCGTGCCTCCATGTAGTATTACCTGCACTGGCTGGCAGTAGCAGTGTTCAATGCTACTCCTATTCACAGCAGACCCCTTGGGATTAATGAACCTGAGTGAGTCCTGTCCGTTAACTTCCACGGCTGTATTCTGAGTAGGGCTAGCAGTGCATATCTCACCCCAGGGTTTCAGGCTGCTGCTGTCTCGCCCAGACTAGTGGGAGACTGAGCCCGGGACAGGTAAGTTGACCTGTCTAGGATTGCACTCTTAAAGATAGTGGTAAAGGGACCTCTGACCATTAGGTCCAGTTGCAGATGACTCTGGGGTTGCAGCGCTCATCTCGCTTTACTGGCCGAGGGAGCCGGCGTACAGCTTCCGGGTCATGTGGCCAGCATGACTAAGCTGCTTCTGGCGAACCAGAGCAGCGCACGGAAACGCCGTTTACCTTCCCGGCAGAGCGGTACCTATTTATCTACTTGCACTTTGACGTGCTTTTGAACTGCTAGGTGAGCAGGAGCAGGGACCGAGCGACGGGAGCTCACCCCGTCGTGGGGATTCGAACCGCCGACCTTCTGATCAGCAAGTCCTAGGCTCTGTGTTTTAACCCACAGCACCACCCGTGTCCCATTGCACTCTTAGCGTTGCCCAATAAAGGCATTTGCAAACCCATCCAGAAACTGAACTGTGCGATCCTATGCCTGTTTCCTCTCAAGTCAGTCCTGTTGGGATAAGAAGAGCCTGCAGTATTCTCCCAAGTAGTCCAGCATCCTGTTCTCACAACCAGATGCCTGGGGGCGGGGCAACCAGAAAGCAAAATTTAACACTCTCCACTCCTGTGGCTTCCAGCCACTGGAATCGGTCCCATCCTCTTCTAAAGCCGTCTAAATTGGCCACCCCTGCTTCTTCCTGTGGCAGTGAGTTCCACAGATGAACTCCGCGCCGAGTGAAGGAGGACTTCTTTCCGTCTGCCCTGAACCTTCCTACAACATTCGGCTTGGGATTTCAAGGCGGCTTCCTCCCTGCAGCGGTGGATCTCAAATTTCAGGGGTCCTCTGTGCAAAGACAAAACTCTGCGCCCACCCTGCTCCCCTAAATCCGCCGCTGCCCCCTGCGCCTTCAGGATCACAGCAACCTGCGCGGCCAGGCTAGCCGGGGAGGGTCTGCAGGAGGCAGTGCGGAGGCGGAGAAACTAAAAAAGCCCACCCACCCCCCAATATTTTAAGCTCCCCCATTAGCTGGCCCTGCAAGCTGAGCGCTTGGCGGGCGAAGTGAGGGGCGCGCGCGCGCAGGGCGCATTTGGAGACCTCGCTCGCCAACTCCTTGGAAAGGGAGGCGCATTTGGGGACCCTGCGGAGCCCCTTCTTCCCCGCCGGGTGCCCAGCCCAGCCTGGCCGGAGGGCGCCTCCTCTCTCTCCCCTTCCTTCCTCCGTCCCTCCCTCCGCCGGCCGAAGCGGATCCGGTTCACGAGCTGGACGTGGGTGGCTCCCGCCGGCCTCTCCGCGCCGCTCGGATCCGCCTCCGGAGGCGCCCGCTCGCCTGGGCGCCTCGCATCCCGAGGAGGAGATGCTCGGCCCGGTAGGACCCCTCTCCCCGTCCCCGCACCCTTTGCCCTTCTCTGGGTCCCCGGGCCGGACCGGGAGAAGGGACCAGCCCGGCGGAGGCGCCCGCTTTGGCCGGCGGACAAAGGCGCGCGTGCCTCTGCGCGCGTGCAGAGGGCCCCGGCTCCGGAAGGAGTGGGAAGAGCCGGGGAAAGCGAGTCGTCCCCCGCAAGGCGAGACCCAAAACCTCTCCTTATACCGAGTCAGGCCATGGTCTGTGTAGCTCAGTATTGTCGACACGGGCCGGCAGCAGCTCTGCCGGGGTTCAAGAGGAGACCTTTCCCAACCCAATTTTTAAATTTTATTTATAAATTATAGCCCTTCACCAAGGGCGTTGCCGGGATTTTTGTTAGGGGGGCAGAAGCTCAGATTTGTATTGATTTGTATTGATTTAGGGGGGCAGCTGCCCCCGTAGCCCCCCTTCACCCGAAGATCTCAGGGCAGATCACAGCATAAAAGCCCTTCTACATGCCCAGCAGGTGTGCTCCCCCACTGAGCTATGGTCACTCACTCTCTGAGCCAGACCATCGCTTCATTTATTTTTTTATTTACAGTGGTACTTTAGGTTAGAGACGCTTCAGGTTAGAGACGTTTCAGGTTACAGACTCCGCTAACCCAGAAATAGTACCCCAGGTTAAGAACTTTGCTTCAGGATGAGAACAGAAATCGCGCAGCGGCAGCGGGGAACCCCATTAGCTAAAGTGGTGCTTCAGGTTAAGAACAGTTTCAGGTTAAGAACGGATCTCCAGAATGAATTAAGTTCTTAACCCGAGGTACCACTGTATTAGATTAATATACAGCCCTTGGTCAAAAGATCTCGGAGCAATTCATAAGATGAAAACACAAAGTAGCTCTGGACTTTTAAAAGGGTAAGAGTTTTGGGAAATAATCCATAACGAATTGAAAAAAATGTTTAGAAGTACTTTCTCCCAAAAAAACAGAGTCCTTTTTGTTGTGGTTAATTCAGACGGAAATTCTCAGGTGTCAAAAAAGGTTATTTATATATGCCACTACTGTAGTCCGTGTTTTGTTAGCCCCCAAATGGAAAACGAGTGAGATCCCAACCAAAGAAGAATGGCAAATTAAATTGATGGAATATTTGCAGCTTGCGGACCTAACTTATAGAATAAAAGAACAAGAAGAACATTCGTTTAAAGAAGTTTGGGAAATGTTTATTGAATATATGGGGGGAAACTGTGTACACTTGAAAACGTTGGCAACATTAAGGTAAATTAAACAGTGTAAATAAGTTTTGTTGGATAACGGAATACTGAAGGGTTTAGTTTATGTAAAATATGCAGGGATTTATGATATGCAAAATGAAGTATGGAAAGGGCATTGACATTTTAAGGTTGTTTAAATTAATATTCCAAATGTAAAACAGAAAATTTTATTTTACATATATATTATCACACAAGAGATATCTCAATATTGTCTACTCTGACTGGCAGCAGCTCTCCAGGGTTTCCAGAAGGGGTCTCCCCCAGCCCTACCTGGAGATGCTGTCTGGGGTTGAACCTTCTGCATGCTGAGCAGGCCTCAAGGGATGGAATATTGACATAGGAAATGGCCTTGTACTGAGATGGACCTGTGGTCCATTTTGCTCCATATGGTCTACACTGACCGGCAGCTGCTGTCCATGATTTCAAGCAGGCTTCTCTTGCAGCCCTGTCTGGGGACTGATCCTGGGACCTTCTGCTGGCAAGGCACTCTAACCACTGAACCAGCACCCTTCCTATCTGACCTTAAGGACTCGTCGAGTGGGCAGCTCGGTTCGGGGGCGGCTTGTGGGCCAATTAAACGACCCCCATGGGCCGCTTGTGGCCCATGGGCCTTAGGTTGCCTACCCCTGACTTACATCATTGGAGCCTACACAACATAAAACACTGTTGCTGTATGTAGGTTTTATTTTATTTCTTTTTTATCTTATATTTTGGAAATGTGCATCCAGGTTTTTTTCCTTTAAATTTTTTTGGGGGGCCACCAAGAGAGTGGGGCTTTAAGCTAGAGCTTGTTTAGCTTGTACCATAAATCCAGCACTGAATTGCACATTGGTTCAAAATCCAAGCAAACCTCTTTTCTTTAATTAATTGAACAAAACTGATGGACTTGATCCAAGGATGCTGCCTTTTCCAAGTCATGATTTACACCTCCAGCGCCCACCTTGCCACCCGTCTGGTGAGGGTGCTGGGAGTTGTGTAAGGGCAAACTACAGTTCCCAGAATCCTTTGCGGGGAGGAGGGGGAGTCATGTGGCAGAGGTGCTTAGAAAGTCTGCTATGGGGCCCTAAGCTATAGCTTGCTTGGCTTATATGCAAATCTGGCACTGCTCTCTTATCTTCCATTCCAAAGGAGTTCCCATAACCCACACTGGAGCCCACGTGATGGGGCAGGTAGTCATTTAATAAGGTAACTGGGTTGACAATTCTCCAGGTCTTGGGGTGGGATGCTTTGCTGAGTTGCTTCCTCTGTCATTGCAGGTGACGCTGGACGACGTCACGGTCTCCTTCTCCCCGGAAGAGTGGGCAGGGCTGCGGGAGTGGCAGCGACGGCTCCACCGTGACGTCATGCGAGAGAACTACGAGCTGCTCGCCTCCCTGGGTAAGACAGGTGGTTTCCTCGCCATACTTAACTGGCCGCAGGGAGCATCACCGTCCGCAATAGAAGGGGAATTCAATTTTGCATGCATCTGAACAAGAGACCTGCCCCGATTCTCGTTCTCAAACCGGTCTGCAAACTGAAATTCACCTTCCTGATTCACACGCTTCTGAATTTTGCGACGCAAAGTTCTCCAGGTGTCTGTTACGCGCGAGAATGCATCTATTTATGTCAAATGTCGGCGAAAGTCATAAACGAGTCGTGCATTGCGTTACTGGACATTGCTTGCCAAAATGTGAGAGTCAGTCAGAAATGTGTTGGTGGTGGTAAATTTGCACAACATTCGAGATGGCTTTTCATGAAGATTTATATTTGGAAACAAAAGCAGATTTCTGCAGAAATGGTGCTTCTAGTGGTTTCTGTTTTTGTAGGCCACTTTGAGTCATTGTGAGTAAAATGACAACAACAACAACAACAATAATAAATTCCTTCCAGTAGCACCTTAGAGACCAACTAAGTTAGTTATTGGTATGAGCTTTCATGTGCATGCACACTTCGTTGGATATTTATTTATTTTATTTTGTTTTGACTACAGCAGACCAACACGGCTACCTACCTGTAATAATAATAATAATAATAATAATAATAATAATAATGGTTATGATGTTCTGGGTGACAAAGCCCTTCTTATCACAGCGCATAGTTTAGCTGTGGAACTCCCTGCCACGGGAAGTAGTGATGGCAACCACCTGGAATGGCTTTAAAAGAGGAAGAGACAAATTCATGAAGGAGGCTCTCAATGGCTGCTAGCTATGCTGGCCATTCTCTGCTTTCATAGCTGCTGGAAACCGCAGGCAGGGAGGCGGCTCCCGCACTCGGATCCTGCTTGTGGGCTTCTTCCCATTGGGGCATCTAGTTGGCCACTGCGAGGAAAGGACACAGAACTAGACGGGCCCCATTTGACCTGGACCAGCAGGTCCTTCTCCTGTCCTCCCTGTTACCTGTAGAGTTGGGAGAGAACCTTGATAAGCAATGGCGGAAAAGCCTCAGCTTGGCACAGTGGTGTAGCGTCCTTTGCTGGTGCCTGGGGCTAAGTGGGGGTGGGCTGCACCGCCTACCTGCTTGCGCAGTGGGGAGCCCGGCTGGCCAACATGGCCCTGCTTTGAGGGGTACACTCATGGCGCAACAGGGCAGGGCGCAAAGTGCTGCTGGGCTCGCGGGGCATCATAATTAATGCGCCCCCCAAAAAACTGCACCGGGGCAACCCTGCCCCTGCTACGTCACTGGATTGGCAAGACCGCTTTGCAACTCCTCCCTTTTCCTTTTGCAGGCTGCGACCTCCAAGTCAAGGATGAAGAAGGGGAGTCTGGGGAGGAAGATGGCCGAGGGCTCTTCTCGGAGATGGTGCTCCGGCGCTGGAAGCCTGAGGGCGAGACCTCGTGCCCGCAGCAAAACAGCGGCAGCAACGTGGCTGGCGAGCCTGTGAGTGGGGCGGGACTCCTGTCTCAGGGGCCGCCTGGCACCGAAGGAGGAAGGGATCCCAGAGGGGAAGAACCGTGTCCCCTAACCTGCCCGGACTGCGGGAAGCGCTTCAAGAGCAAAACCGCCAGCTTGACGCACCAGCGCATCCACACTGGCGAGCGCCCCTTTGGCTGCCCCGAGTGCGGGCGGCGCTTCACCCAGCGGCAGCACCTGGGCACCCACCTGCGGGTGCATAGCGGGGAGCGCCCCTTCTCCTGCGGCGAGTGCGGCGCCGCCTTCCGGCTGCAGAAGCTGCTGCTGACGCATCGGCGCAAGGCGCACTCGGGGGAGCCGCCTCTGGCGTGCGCCGACTGCGGGAAACTGTTCAGCCACAAGCACCACCTGATGACGCACCAGCGGGTGCACACGGGCGAGCGCCCCTTCCCCTGCCCCGAGTGCGGGAAGTGCTTCAGCCAGAAGCACCACCTGCAGACCCACCAGCGGGGGCACTCGGGGGACCGCCCCTTCCCCTGCCCCGAGTGCGGGAAGGCCTTCAAGGACCGGGCGGGGGTTCTGATGCACCGCATCGTCCACACGGGCGCCAAGCCCTTCGCGTGCCAGCGCTGCGCCAAGATCTTCAGCCACAAGCACCACCTGGTGATCCACCAGCGCGTCCACACGGGCGAGAAGCCCTTCTCCTGCCAGGTGTGCCGCAAGCGCTTCACGCAGAAGCACCACCTGCTCAGCCACGAGCGCATCCACACAGGCGAGCGCCCCTACGCCTGCCCCACCTGCCCGCGCAGCTTCAAGGACCGCATCACCCTCAAGCTGCATGTGCGGCTCCACACGGGTGAGAAGCCCTTCTCCTGTGGGCGATGCGGAGAGAGCTTCCGCCTGCGCAAGGCCCTGCTCTCCCACCAGAGGGCGCACGACGCACCCGCCCAGCTCATCTGCACCGAGTGCGGGGAGAGCTTCCCACGCATGCGCAGCCTGGCTGCCCACAGGAGGAGGGCACACCCAGCAGCAGCGCCCCACGGGGCTGGCGCACAGCCCAGACAGACCGGCTGCTCATGCCGCCTGGCTGAGTCGCGGGCTGACAAGGAAAGAGCAGCAGGCGCGCCACCCGGACCCTGAGGGCGCATGGCAGAAAGAGAAGTGCAGTCTGGGCCCTGGCACACATCCTCCAGCTGCAAAGATGCCAACGCAGTGAATCACCTGCCCAGGCCAGGATCCCTAGGCTGGGTGGACAAGGGAATGCGATTGTCGTCTTTCATGGCATCGTAGAGTTGGAAGGGCTCCACGGGTCATCCATCCCAACCCACTGCAATACACCTTTCTCATTGTCCTTTTCGTTTTGGAAATTTTCATCAGCATTCGCCCCCCCCCCCCATCAAAACCGAGGACCTCCCCTTTCCCGGCTTCCCATTTCTGCTTTGTTGCAGCGCCGACTGGTTATTGCAGGAGCAGCCAAAGCCAGGGAGCCGGTGTAGTGTAGTGGTTAGAGTGCTGCTTTTCAAACTTGGTATTACAACTCCCATCATCTGTAGCTAGCAGGAGCAGCAGTCAGGGATGACGGGAGTTGTAGTCCAACAACCGCTGAGGACCCAAGTTTGAGAAAGGCTGGGCTAGAGTGCCAGAGCTCGTGGCGGCGTTCGCAGCCCCCCTTTCTCCTGATGACACCCCATTTTGTCCCCACACCAACGCTGTGAGGCAGGGTGAGAGACAGTGACTGGCCCGAAGGTCCCACCCAGTGAGCTGCGTGGCCGAGTGGGGATTTGAACCCAGGTCCTTGTCCGACCTTCTTGACCCCTGCACCACCAGACTGCGGTGTGGAGGTTCCCCTCGTGCCCCTTCCCTTCTTGCCAAGCGAGAGCCTTGTAAAATGGGCCACCTCACCAACCCACCTCGGTTCTAAGAGACAAGGAATTTGAGCAGCTCTTTCCAGTTCGCTGGATCGTCAAGTTGGAAGGGATCCTCGAAGGTCATTTAGTCCAACCCCCTGCAATGCAGGAATCACAGTCAACCGCAGTTCTTCGCTCTGCACCGCTGCCCTGCAAGCTGTGAATAGGCAACGTAGCACCTTCCCAAAGGTCCCAGAATCATAATGCCGGAAGGGACCCCAAGGGTCATCCAACCCAACCCCCCAAAATGCAGGCCTCGCAACTGAAGGATCCTCAGCAGGTGGAGAGCTGAGCCCTGCTTAGAAACCTTGGCAAGCCAGGAATAGCCAGTGTGGTCCCTTCTAGCTGCTCCTGGACTCCAGTTCCCATCAGCCCCAGCAAGTATGCCCAATGGCAAGGATGATGGGAGGCCACAGCCCATCAGCTACCCCTCCCAAGCCCAGACCACCCCACCAAAGCGCAAAATGACTGCAAGTCCAGCTATGTCCTGTCCAATGTAAAAGGAAGAACAAGCAAGTGGTAGGTCCTCTGCGTGTGGAAGACGGAGACCTTCTTTGCCTGTCTTCACCCAAAACGAAGCAATGCCCAACCTGGTGATAACAGAATAAATTATGTAAGGAGGGAGCTGCAGCCCAGATAGGAAAAGGGGTAGTAAGGGAACAACTAGCTGCTTTAAATTAATTCAGATCTCAAGTGCCTGATGAGCTGCACCCAGGGGTGCTAAAGGAGCTTGCAGGTGTAGTCTCAGAGCCTTTGTCTATTATCTTTGAGAACAGGTGAGGTCCCTATAGACTCGAGATGGGCAAATATTGTCCCCATCTTCAAAAAGGGGGGAAAGGAAAACCCAGGTAATTACTGACCGGTGAGCTTGACATTGATAACAGGGAAGGTCCCAGAACAGATAATTCAACCGTCGGTCTGTGAGCATTTAGAAAAGGATGCTGTGATTACTAAGACCCAGCATGGGTTTCTCCAAAATAAGTCATGACAGACCAACCTGATTTCTTTACAAACTTGGTGGATCAGGGAAATGCTGTGGACAGAGTGTATCTTGATTTCAGAAAGGCTTTTGACAAAGTCCCCTGTGATATTCTCATGAGGAAGCTGGTAAAATATGGGTTGAACGAGGGGACTGTTAGGTGGATTTGTAGCTGGTTGGCTGACCAAACCCAAAGAGGACACATTCATGGTTCCTTGTGTTCCTGGGGAAAAGTGACCAGTGGGGTGCCGCAGGGTTCTGTCCTGGGCAAGTTGTTCTTAATGTCTTTACAAATGACTTGGATGAAGGAATTGAGGGGATGTTAATCAAATTTGCAGATTGCACCAAAGTGTAATCTGATTCTGCCGCAGGAGACAGTATCAGAATTCAAAATGACCTTAACAGGTTGGAGAACTGGGCACAAACTACAAAATAAATTTCAATAGCGACAAATGTAAGATTCTGCAGTTAGGCAGGAAGAACCAGTTGCACAAATAAAGGATGGGGGACACCTGGAAAAGGGTCTTGGGGTCTTGGTGGACCCCAAGCTTGACATGAGTCAGCTTCTTGGATTTGCTGAAAGCCTGTCCAGCACTTCCTTCCCAGATTCCTCCTTTTTTCCAATGCAAAAGGAAGCAAAGCCCATGGAGCTGTTCCCCTGCCATTGTCGACCTTAGATAGGTCCTTACTTTCCGCAACGTTGACCTGTGGTTGGGCTCTGAGCCGCTGCTTCTGACCTTCCCTGAAAAGGGCTCCCCCACCTTGCTATCACTTGTTAAAACCTCTTCCTCACACACCTGGTTTCCAGGGGGAATGAGATGCTCGTTCACTGCCTGCACCCTGATTTGCAACTGAGACATTTTCATAAAAAAGACGAATCTCTTTTCTTCCTGGGAGATTTGCTCCTTGGCTTCCAATCTCCTTCTCAAGAACGCCTGGCACAGAGATTGCTCTTTTCACAGCCACTGTACATATGAACCAGGCACCTTCTGTGTTCATCCCCTGAGCAACAGTGCTTCCTCTAAAAACGACGCAAGGCCCTAGTCCTCATGCTTCTGCATCAAGGGCTAATTCGATAGGAACCTGGGAAGCTGCGTCAGGCCGTGGTTGGCCCAGCTTGCTCAGTATTGCCCACACTGTCCAGCTGGCAAGGGGCCTTCCTAGCCCCACCTGGAAATGCCACTGGGCACTGCGTGCAGGGCCCACAAGGTGGGCGCTCGGCTTCCACTCCTGCAAGCCCGCAGCAAATTCCTTTGGCATCCTCTCTCAGTCCTCCCCTGTGGAAGCTTCCTTGGCGCATTAATAAAACACACAGCGAAGCTGCTGGCTGAGTTTATTGACTTCCAAAGGAACAAAGGAGAAATCTGTGCTGTGCTGTGTGTGTGTGTGCGCGTGGGAAATTGGAAAACAGGAGAGAAGAGGCAATGGGAAACATGAAAAAACATCTTGCATCCTGGGAGGGGAGACGTCCCGTTCCGCCATGGAAGGGCCTGGTCTTTTCGCCTGCGGGGACATCATCAGCGCTTGGAAAAGTCGCCACCTGGGATGGAGAAGAAGGCAAACCCGAGACGGGTGGTGAGACTTGAATGCAGGACTTACCTGGGAAGACCAAGAGCAGAGGAGAGCGACTCTTGTGCTCGGATCCTGCGTGTGGGTTTCCCACTGGGGCACCTGGTTGGCTGCTGCGAGGACAGCGTGCTGGGCTCTGGAGACTCGGTGTGGTTAGAGTGTCAGACCAGGATGCGGGAGACCCGAGTTCGAATCCCCCCAGTCACACTGGACCAATCACACTGCCTTCTCTCAGCCTATCCTCCCTCGCAGGGCTGTTGTGGGGGTTAAATGAGGAGGGAGGGATCATGTACGCCACTTGGAGGGAAATAATGTGGGATATTAATGCCATGAAATAAATAAGGATAATGGCTGGGCCACTTGCCTGATCCAGCTCTTTTTATGGTCTTAGGTATAGAAAAGAGGGCTTTGTCCACATCTTTAGCCTAATTAAGCCGGGCTCCTCTTAGGCCCAGGAATCAGATTTGGGGGAGAGAGAACCCATTATTATTTTTATTTATTATTACAATTTATAACCCACCCTTTACCCTAAGGTCCAAGGGTGGGTGACATCATTAAAGTACGGTATTAAAAACAGTTCAAAAAAATCTCATTCGCAACCCCAGAAATAAAGTGGGTCCTAAAATCAATGCATTAGGCGTCAAAGGAGAAAGAGGGGCGTCATCAGTATCCGCTGGAAGCTGTTCAATGAAGGCAAGAGTGAGTTGGGGGGGTCTGGGTGGATCACGAGTTTAACAGGAGGTTAAATGCTATTCTAGGCTTCATCAGCACAAGTCTTATGGGATATTGGAGAGCTAGGTGCAAGCCTAGTAGGGACAAACGTAAGGTTCTGCACTTAGGCGGGATTGGGGACACCTGGCTTACCAGCAGCGCATGTGAAGAGGATCTCTAGGGGTCTTGGTGGACCACAAGCTGAAGATGAGCCCACAGTGTGATGCAGCAGCAAAAAAAGCTAATGCTTTTTCTAGGCTGCATCAACAGAAATATAGTGTCCAGGTCCAGGGAAGTAATAGTCCTGCTCTAATTTGCCTTGGTCAGGCCACACTTTGAACACTATATCCAATTCTGGAAACCACAATTTAAGAAGGATGTTGACTAGCTGGAAGGTGTGCAGAGGAGGGCAGCCAAGCCTTATGGGGGAATGGCTGAGGGAGCTGGGAATGTTTAGCCTGGAAAAGAGGAGACTCTGAAGAGATACGAGAGCCATCTTGAAAGGGCTGTCCAGCTTGTTTCCTTCTGCTCCAGAGGGTAGGACTCGAACCCTTGGCTCCAAGTTGCAAAGAAGGAGATTCCGACTGAACTGTAAGAGGTCTTTCTCGGGAAGGGGCTGGATTCTCCTTCCTTGGAGGTTTATAAACTGGCCATCTATCATGGCTGCTTTAGTTGAGATTCTTGCATGGCAGGGGGTTGGACTAGATGACCCTGAGGGTCCCTTCCAACTCCGCAATTCTACGATGTTACCTTTGTACAGGAGATTCCTTCCTGCGCCCACAAACCCCACCCTCTCTAGACAAGCAAGAGGCAAGACCAGATTTCAAGGACACACCACAGTCTGGCAAACAACCCAATTTTGTGGGGTGTGTGTGTGTTCTTCCAGAGCAGGCCGATGGGGGACATTGTGTGGGGTCAGAGGCCCAGACCCTGAGCCCTGGGGTCAGAGGCTCCCCACACCCCATTGCCTGTGGTCAATCGGAGCCCTTTCCGGCGCCCGCCCCTGGCCCGGGCTCACCTTGGCAGCTGCTGCACTCGCACTGGTGGATGACGGGCAAGACGACGGGCTCCGTCTCGCCCCCCTGGCACTGCAGGTTCAGGATGCGGACGGGGCTGACGGGGTCCAGGCGGTAACTGCAGCACTCGCACACGGTCTGCAGGTAGGGCTCCTGCGAGGGGCAACACAAGGGGAGGGGAGGAGAGAGATAAAAAACCTAAACAGGTGTATCAAAACACCATTGATGAGGCCCTACACTACTGAAGGTAAAGGGGCCCTTTCTATGTCCAGCTTTATATTGGCTCCCCCCAATATTGAAACTCCCCACATCTCTGAGGAGCGCAGACCGGCCCACTGTCTCCTCCCCAATCCAGCTTCTCCAGGCAGTGAGTTCCAAAGATGCCAGCGAGGTGCCACCACCAAGAAGGCCCTGCTAGGCATCCCCACCAGGGCTGGATTGAGGTTGGATGAGGCCCTAAGCTGCTGAAGGTGACGGGGCCCTTTCTATGTCCAGCTGTCCTATGTCAGCAACAAACTGTTATTTTTTGTGTTGAATATATGCTATATTGTAATTTATGGACCTAATAGGTATTTCAAGCCATTTGCACATAACCAAATACATATTTTATCAAAGTAATTGTTGAACTGAAATACAATTAAGAAGAAGTATATTGATCGTGAAATACATGCCATGCCACCAGTCCATGCAGAATGCAGGCACCCTATATATAGAAAGGAGCAAACCAGTGATATTTGAGGGAGCAGGCAGGGGCCGTGACTTACATCATAGGAGCCTGCACCACACAAAACACTGCTGCTGTATGTAGGTTTTATTTCATTTGTTTTATTTTATCTTATATTTTGGAAATGTACATCCAATTGTTTCTTTTCCTTTAATTTTTTTTGGGGCCCCCCAGAGAGTGGGGCCCTAAGCTATAGCTTGTTCAGCTTATACGTAAATTTCAAGGAGAGTCTGCCTGGAGCCCAGGTCAGGAAGGGGCTGGGTTTTTTTGGTTTTTTAATTTATTTATACATTTTCATTAGTTTTACAATCAATTTAACATTTCAAAATTTGGCTTCCTTCCCCCTCTTTCTGCGGTTCCTTACATTTATTTTTTAATATCTTCTGCGTATCTGAATTCATTTAACTTCCTCATTTAAATATCTACTGTAAATATATACTCTTATAAAACTGCAGGTTATTACAATAATCCGGCCAATGTTTTTATCTGTCTACAATTTATCTGTAAATATTCAATTAACCGTTTTCATTCTTCAAGGTAGGGCAACCCTATCGCACAGAAGCTGTTGGAGGACTAAAAACGGACCCCCTTTGAAATCAAAATTCTCCCATCCAAAAATGTTATTATTATTTTCTATTTATTTACTAGAGTTATATACCACCCTTCATGCAACAACAACAACAACAATTTATTTATACCCTGCCCATCTGGCTGGGTTTCCCCCCAAAACTCAGACGTTTCCTTTAAAATGTAAAAATCCGCCCTGATGGGCATGTTTGCCCCCTAAAGGAGGACATGTCCTGGTTTTCCCGGGCATATGGCAACCCTACCGCTTGTGCAATATTGATAACCCCAATACACTGCGCGGACTGTGAGGGGCGAGGCCACTGGGTGACGCACAGGGGGCTTCTGGAGAGGGCAGTGCCCCCGGGTGCCTTGGCCTGGCGCCCACTTACCTCGGGGATGACGTTGGTGTGGGAGGGGCAGCGCCCCCGGCAGTAGCTCACCTCCACGCCAGCCAGGAAGCAGCTGCCCTTGGTGATGTTGCGGAGCTCTGTGTGGTGCTGGCAGTCGGGCTGAGGGTGATCTTCTGCAGGGGAAGAGGAGGGCAATGTGGCAGGCCAGCGGGCAAGGGGGGCACCCCCGTGCGAGGGTCTCGGGGGCCCAGGCCTGGGGCTGATGGGGAGTTTGGGCCCAGCAAAAATCCAGGGGGGGGCACAGGGCAGGATTCCGCCCAAACCCTGACCCACGTCGGACAGAACGGTTTCTGTTTCCCGTTGGTTGGTTTGGTTCAAAACATTTACGCGCCACAGTTTACAAAAGAAGAATAACAAAAAAGCCAATAAGATTATAAATAAGGAAAGCTAACAATAGCAATTTAAGGCTTTTGGGAAGCTAAAATCACAACAGATTGGAAGTCAAAACGTCTGGGTGGGATGGTCTGGACTCAAATGTTTTCGGCAGGCGCTGCGAAGGGCACAGGGAAGGTGCCTGCCTGGTGTCAAGAGGCAAGGAGTTCCAAAGGTGATGGTAAAGAACCTTAAAGCAGTTTACAGAACGAATAAAACCATTATCGGCAAAACGGTTCAAAGGAACTGTTTAGAACACTGGGAGGGATATGAAAGCAGCAGAAAAGGAAAACCAGATTTAAACACAACAACAGTCCGCAGGTCTGAGTAGGGTTCTCTGAACAAAAAATGTTTTCGGCAGTCTCCAAAAAGAGAATTGCCTGATGTCAATAGGCGGGGCGTTCCGAAGAGTGGGGCTGCCACAATTAAAGATGGCTTTGTTGCAAATGGGGATTCCCTGCTCTCCCCGCCTCGCCTGCCTGCCCACCCTGGATGCAGAAGCTCCTAGCCCAGGGCTGAAACCAAGACCCCAAAGGCACAGCCTAGAAAGGACCCTCTGGGGGCTCTCTCCCCCCTCGCAAGCCCACCTACCAGGCAGCTCCTTCCTGCACAGCGGGCAGCAGCTCTCGGCCTCCTGCACTTTCACTTCGCCCTGAGGAGAGAAGAATCACAGAAGGGACCCTAAGGGTCATCTAGTCCAACCCCCTGCAAAGTGGGAACCTTTTTGCCCAGTGTGGGACTCAAACCCACGGCCCTGAGATTAAGAGTCTCCCGCTCTGCCAACTGAGCTGTCCTGCAGGGCTGAGCTACAGGAACTCACTTTCAAATCCCTGCAGACCCCAGGCGCCTGAGCACATGCAAAGTGTCTTTCCCTACACCCTCGAGCAAGCTGCAACCCGGTCTCCCTGCTCCCCCACATATCCCAGGATGTGTTTCTGCCACTGCCCCCCCCCGAGTTCTCATACTCCAACTGACCCTCATTGACCCCGCATTTTTGGTCCCCCCCTCCCAGTCCCCACGCAGAGCTTTTCCTACCGGAGGAAGGGCGATTGCCTGCGCTATCCTCATGCCCTCCACCTGAGAAAATCCCTTAACCCCAATTTTATTTTATTCTTCGGTAGATTCACAAAACATGCGCCAATTAATCAATTTCAGGCAAGCGCCAGTTCACCCTCCTTCCCAAGCTCAGCGGCGATGGCGGGAGAATTTGGGACATTCTGGGATCAAATCAGAAGCCCAGGTGGTTTTCGTAATTCCGGGACTGTCCCTGGAAAATCGGGGCGCTTGGCGGGAATGCTATATGGGCCTCCTCTGGCCTGATCCAGCAGACCCTCCAAATAATAATAATAATAATAATAATAATAATAATATATTTATACCCCGCCCATCGGGCTGGGCTTCCCCAGCCACTCTGGGCGGCTTCCAACAAAATATTAAAATACAGTACTGTATTTTCTTTGTTATTTGTCTTACGTTGAGAGGAGGCGAGGGCAGGGCCCACATGCGGTGGCCCCTGAGTCTGTTTTTGGCCTGCAGGACAGAGGCTCCCCACCCGCCCTGTGCAGCACGGGGTCCTTTAGGTGCAAATACCTCAAGGCAGGTGATTGGGGGGCAGGTAGCCTCGCACACGGCCCTCCCGTTCAGGCAATGGCAAGTTTTGCAGCCCTCCTGCCACTCTGTGCCAGCCTGCGGAGGAGAGAAAGAAGGGGAGAGAGGGCTTCAGAGGGCCTGCAGAGTGCAACCGGTTTAGAAATTATTATCATTGCCATCGTAAACATATCAATTTATATCCTGCTTTCCCCCCCAGATCGGGACTCACACAAATTAAAACGGCACAGGTCGAATGCAAAAAGGTACAGACGTACAAAAGATGGTCGTTAGAATGTCATTTAAGAGAATTAAAATGATATAAATAAACAAATCTATTGAAAACAGGTACAGCGCAGCACTATTTAAAAGTGCCTTCCTTAAAAAAAACCTAGCCTGCCAGAATAAAATAATCTTCGGCCAGTGGAAGGACAAGGAGGGAGCCAGTCTGGCTTCTCTAGGGAAAAGAGCTCCAAAGTTTGGAGCAGTCACTAAGAAAGCCCTGCAATAAGTCACAGAATTCTAGAGCTGCAAGAGACCCCCAGGGTCATCTAGTCCTTTGTGCCCACCAACATGGAATGAGCAGGTTGAGGGCACAAAACTTTGTCTCGCCAAAGCCAGATACCTTTGCCCTCCCCCCAATCCAAAATGCCGCCACCGCTCACACTCACCGCGTAAATCTGGCCCCGATGCTGACACTCGCAGTGAGCGGCCAGGACGCAGTGCCCACTCTTGTTCCGGTAGTGCCCCAGCTGGCACACGCAACCCTGCCCAGACCTTGGGGTGCAGTTCTGTGGGGGATCCTCGTAGATCTGGTGGCAGCCTCGCTCACAGGGGGCAGGGGAATCGGTCCTGAGCCAGAGCTCGCCGGCAGGGCAGGCTGTGGGCAGGAGAGATACCAGTCAGAGTAGCCTTTGCCAACTAGGTGCCAGTATACCTGAAGGAGTGTCTCCACCCCCATCGCTCAGCCCGGACACTGAGGTCATCCTCCGAGGGCCTTCTGCTGGTTCCCTCACTGCAAGAAGCGAAGTTACAGGGAACCCGACAAACGGCCTTCTCGGTGGTGGCACCCACCCATCAGATGTCAAGGAAATAAACAACTATCTGACTTTTAGAAGACATATGAAGGCCGCCCTGTTTAGGGAAGTTCTTAAGGAATTTGATTGTGTTTTTAATATCCTCTTGGGAGCCTCCCAGAGTGGCTGGGATACAAATAATAAAATTATTATTATCAAACTCCCACCAGCACCGCCCAGCTCCCTCGACTGTTCCTCACAAGGCTTGGCTTCCAGGCCTTTTATCACTTCTGGTTCTGCTGCACTTCTGTTTCGGGAAGTTCCACTTAGGTACAAAACGCAAAAGGAGTGATTTTCTGCTCCTCCCCGATTCCCCAGGGGCAGGAGAATGATCCGCAGGGGCAAAGGAAAGCCACTGAGCCTCACCGCAGTCTGGGAGCGAACACGACATCCAGCGCTCAGAGGGTCCTTCGCACTCGGCACCGCCGTAGAGGCGCAGCTGGCGGTGGTGGCGCCGGGACGCCCGTTGTCCGGAGCCACACGTCACGGAGCAGACTGACCACGGGGCCCACTCTGACCAGACGCAGGGCACTGCGAGAAGGGGGAGAGCGTCCGGGTGAGGGAGTGCGGCTGGCAGAGGGCATCCTGGGAGGGCGTTGGATTGGGGCCCGGTGCTGTGTGGGGCAAGTGGTGGCTGGGAGGGGAGGGGAGAGAAGTGCCCAGGTAATTGCCCAAGAAGGGGGGCAAATATGGGTGTGGCACCCCTGCCCCTTTGCAGCTCAGTCCTGAAGCGGGAGATGCCAGAGTTCAGGGCAGAGCTCTCGCTTTTGAGAAGGGGTTTGGTTGGGGTTTGGGGATGGGAGGAATGCACTCTGCACAGGCTCAGAGGAAGCGTTGGCCGTCTGGTCTCAGGGCTGAGAACAGGATGCTGGCAGGAAAACACAAGCCAAATACAGGCACCCCCGACCCCTTTGGCCCCCTTCCTGGTGCCGTGGGGCTGAAAGCAATGGGGCTGTAGGGGGCAGAAAGGGGGCAAGCTCTGCCTGGGGAGGGTCTGTGCCCCTTGGCAGCCTCTTACCATCGCAGTCCTCCTGGGTGCAGGTGAAGACCCCGCTCTGGCAGACACTGCGGAGCCAAACAAAAGGAGTCAGAAGGCAGCCAAGCGAGGTGCGGCGGGTAACCAGAGCCCAGGGCTGGGTGGGAGGAGACCCGGGTTCAAATCTCCACTGGGTGGCCTTCAGCCAGTCTTCCTCTCTCTGTCTAGCCTACTTCGTCCCCTCCCCCTCCCCTTTTTATGAAGATTACCCGCTCTGGGATCCCACAGCTAATTCTCCCCTGGTCTCCTCGCTGGCCCAAATAGGACTAATTTAGCCAGCTAGCCCTGGTGATCATTGTTTATGTTTATTGGATGGATTATAGCTATTCACGGTTTATACTGTATTTTATGGTGTTTTTTGTTGCATCAATTAAGTGTTTTAAATTTGTTGTTAGCCACTCTGAGCCCGGTTTTCTGAACCGGGAAGGGCAGGGAATAAATAAGGATTTATTATTTATTATTACTTTGCAGGGCTGTTGTGATGCTCAAATGCAGGAGTGGGGGAAATACACCCACCCACACACCCACCCACACTGCCCTGAACTGCTTATGGGAGAGGCAGGATATCAAAGTAGGTCATGGAAAGGGGCCTCAAATCCGAAAGGCCGTCACAAGAAATATGGAGAAAGCTTGCTTTTCGCTGCTCCAGGAGAGGCAGCCCAAACCAATGGAGTCAAAGGACAATAAATGAGATTCCAACTGAACCTTGGAAAGAACTTTCTGGTGGTGGGAGCTATTTGACAGAGGAGTGAACCACCTCTGAAGATGGCACATTCTCCTTCCTCGGATATTTTAAAGCAGAGGTCGGATGGTCACCTGTCAGGGATTCTCCCGCTGTGATTCCTGCATCGAAGGGGGATGGACTAGAGAACCTTTGGGGGACCCCTTCTGAATATACGATTCTGTGATTCCTCCTGCAGCCCAGGGTGGGTGGATGGGGAGAGGAGCCCCCTGAATAGGATGGACCTTGTGTGGATGGCGTCGCCTGCTCTAAGTCAAGAACACCCTGCCCTACAATTTCCGCTTTGAAAAAGAATGGGAACCATTTATATTATACTTGCGGAAACAAAGAAAGTCTATAGACTTGATGGCAGGATTTAAATAAACATTCACATCATTAGCATTAGAAAATGTGTGGAAGATAGAGAAACAGGATGGTGTGTCTTATTTTTATGTTTTAAGGTTTGATGTTGTTGTATAAATATGTTACTGGTATTGTTTTCTTTTAGGAAATAGCAAAGCGGGTGAAAATAGAACCAAACCAGAAACGGAAGTTGGGGGAAACCCAGAAGGGGAGGGAGGAAGGAATGTATAGTAAACATTATGGATATGAGATGTATGTAATGAATGAAAAAGGAAAATGAATTTTAAAAAAATATTTTTTTAAAAAAGCTTCTGTGCTGCAATGGGCAGTGTCGTCCGGTTGTCTCTTTTGCCCCCCAAAGTGACTATTTCAGAGATCCTGCCCACTGCCCAGCCCACGCTCACCAGCTGTTGCACTCGTGGCGAATGACGCTGCCCGGCGGGTGCTCCTGTCCCTGTTCCTCTTGGGAAATGTTGGCAGCCCAGGGCATGGTGGGCACCGAGCCCAGCTGGCAGCGGCATTCTTCTGGGGGGACGCAGCCCCCGTCCTGCAGCACCTGTGGGCCCAGAGGAGGCTCAGCGTCAGCAGGTGCGCTGCCGTGGGGAAAGGGAACCCCCCTCCCTGCTTTGTGGCTGGCTGGCCCCCCGGGGAGAAGAGACTGGGCCGGGCACAGATGTGCTCCTGGGAAGGGGCTCTCGGCTCATAAGTGTGGGAAATTGCAGTCAGATAGCAAGTTTAGGGCTCGTTAATGCACAAAGGGGTGAATGTCAACTTTGCCATCGTTTTTCTTTTTTTTTACTTTTCAAATTTATACATTTCTTTAGTTTTACAATCAATCTGGCATTCCAAAATTCGGCTGCCTTCGCCCTCTTTCTGCAGTTCCTTAAATTTATTTTTTAATATCTTCTGCATATCCAAGTTCACTTAACGTGCTCATTTAATTACCTACTGTAAATATATACTCTTATGAAACTGCAGATTATTACAATAATCCTGCTAATGTTTTTATCTGTTTACAGTTTATCTGTAAACAATCCATAAACCATCTCCATTCTTTTATAAAAAGTTTGTTATCTCAATTTCTTATTCTTCCGGTGAGTTTCACCATTTCTGCATATTCCTTAAGTTTTTTGCATCCATTCTTCCTTTGCTGGGACTTCTGCTTCTTTCCATTTTGGGGCAAGAAACATTCTTGCCGCTGTAGTAGCAGACATAAATAAATTTCTATACAATTCAGGTACAGTAGTTCTGTCCCTATAATTCCCAAAAGAAAAGCTTCTGGGTTTTTTAAAATAAAAGTTATTTTGAACATCCTTTTCAGTTCATTATATATAATTTCCCATGCTCTTTTTTCGATGCTTTTTTGAGCATATTACACTGATCCTATATAATTCTATACAATTTAGGTAGTTCTGCCTCTATAATTCCTAAAACTTTGCCATCTCGGCTGAGTCCAATCATTTTAGCAACCATTCCTCTGCCGCAGGTAAAGATGAATGAACAGTATTGCCGTTTTGTGTGTCTTGAGGGCTGGGCTGCGGCTCAGTGGCAGAACATCCACTTGGCATGGCAGAGGTTCCTGGGCTCAACCTTCGATGGCAGTTCCAGAAAGACCCCTACCCTAAACCCTACAGAGTGGCTGCCAGCCAGTGCAGGCAACACCAGCCTAGGTAGACAGAAAGGGCAGCTTTGGGTGCTCTGAGCTCACTCACCTGTCCGGAGGGGCAGGCGCAGCCCGGCCGGCATTCCTCACGGAGGCACTGGGTGTGAGGGCGCAGGTCGGAGCAGGACCGCGGGCAGGCGTTGGCGCAGTCGCTGTAGACTTGGTATCCTGGGCATTCTGGCACAGAGAGGGAGGAGGAAGAGGCAACGGCATAAAAGGCAGCGTTGCATAGTGGTTAGAGCAGGGGTCAGCAAACTTTTTCAGCAGGGGGCCGGTCCACTGCCCCTCAGACCTTGTGGGGGGCCGGACTATATTTTTGGGGGGAAATAAATGAATTCCTATGTCCCACAAATAACCCAGAGATGCATCATTTGTTGCATTCAATAGAATAGAATAGCAGAAGATTCTCAGGTAAATATCCGAATCCCCTTTGCAGATGACCGCTATTTCGTCTAATTCTCTGCCTGGCCTGCCTTGCCGGGTGGTTGTTCTTGGGATGAAATGAGGAGGTGGGATAACCTTGAGCTCCTTGGTGGGATATAAATGCAAGGATAAACAGGGAGACTTTGGTCCCCGGCTGCCGCTGAGCCGGCCCTGCCGTTGGGGGGCTTTTTGAGGGGCTCACCTGGCGTGCAGTTCTGCGTGTTGCAGGCGTGGTGCTGCAGGAGGGGGTCAGCGCAGGGCTCCCCCAGCGGTGGGGAGAGGAGGCTGCGGTTCCTCTCGGACTCGCCTCCTCCGCAGGTGGCACTGCAGGGGCTCCAGGCCGACCACTCGCTCAGCAGGCAGGCAGCTGGGGAAGGAAAGGGGGGGAGAGGGGGTGTCAGGGGCAGCACTGGGATCTCCCTCCTGCGCCTGCCGGCCCGTGCTCAGGGAGGGATGCTCCAGCTCAGGGCTCAGCAACCTTTTCTCAGCCGTGGGCCGGTCCACCGTACCTCAGACCTTGTGGGGGGGCGGAGTATATTTTTTGGGGGGAAATGAAGGAATTCCTATGCCCCACAAACCCAGAGATGCATTTTAAATCGAAGCACACATTCTACCCATGCAAAAACACACTGATTCCCGGACCGTCCGCGGGCCTGATTGAGAAGGTGGTTGGGCCGGATCCGGCCCCCGGGCCTTAGGTTGCCTACCCCTGCTCCAGCTGGTAGAACCAGAGGCGGGGGGAGATTCAAAAGCTGGGGGCCACGCAAAGGCTGTATCAGCCCTCACAATATTTCAATAAATACAAAATCAAACCATAAAATTATAATTGCACTATAAATTATATTGATATATCATTTATATTCTAAGATGTGTGACATTCCTTAATTTTGCAGTGTTTCTGAAGATAGTCTTTGGATTGAAAATAAATGGTTTCCAGCTGTACAGGTTAAAGTTAAGGATAGATTAAGATTAAAGATCAAGATTAAAGATGTTTAAAGAAATGGAAATTTGATAATAAAAGGGAAAAATTTAAAGGTATATGACATTAAGAACAAGGATTAGGCTTAAAAAAGTTGAAGTTATATATCTTAACACTTTATTAAATTAAAGATTGGGTTTAAGAAAGTGGAAAAGAAACTGCTGGACAAATAATGTGGATTGGAATACAAAAGAGGGAGGTTTGAGGAAGTCCAGAAAATAAGTAATTTAAAATTGGGAATGGAAAAGAGAGTTTGTTTTTAATTGTTATGTTTTGTGTTTTTATTGTTAAATTTTGTATTTTTTTTGTGTGTGTTGTTTTTCTTTTTTCTTTGTTTAAAACCTTAATAAGAAATTATTTAAAAAAATATATATATATTCTAAGATGTGTGTGTATTATATTTAATAGTGGAATAATAATGCTAAAGTAAATATATACATAAATAAATGTATATATAAAGACACACAAGACTGTGTAACGCCATAAAAGTATTCTATCACCTACTACAAAGTGACACGTCCATCACTTTCAGTGGGTCTACTCTTGAGTACAATGAGCATGAGATACAACTCGCTAATAAGGCTTCTTATTTCGATCCTGCCCGTCTCCCCAGAGGAGATAAGGGTGGCAAATCACAAAGCATCACAACTCACAACGGGGGGGGGGGGGACGGGGGGACGGGACCAAAAAACTGCTGTTCCCTGGATGAGAGTTGGCTGTGTTAGGATATAAATTCCCTCTGCAAATTAATGGATATGGATTTATTAAATACAAACAGAAGTCTTCACACCAGCGGCTGCTAAAACAAAGGATTAAGATCGGAATTGTGGAATTTGAACTAATTAAGAGAACTGGAGCAGGACCAAGGATTAACATCAACTCCAGATAACCGGAATATGGGAAATCACCCAAAAACATGGAATTCGGAACTGATTAACTGGCTTTTTTTATTGTATTGTGATTTGGCACGATTTGGCATTGTATTAATGTGGCCTCCACTAGATTGTTATTAATAAAAAATTAATAAAAATGAATGAGAGAGAGAGAGAGAGTTGGCTGTGTTGGCAGGGCCCAGGGGTAGGGGCACCCGCTTGCCCTGACGCCAGGCGGCTGGCAGACTCACCCTCGCAGGGCTGTGGGCTGCACTGGGCTGCTTCCTCCATGGCATCGGCGGCGCAGGGGGCTCCCGCAGGGCTCTCGTGGCACTGCCGGTGCCGCAGGGTGCTGCCCCCACCGCAGCTGGCAGAACAGGGGCTCCATGCGGACCATTCCCCGTAGGACGGGCACTCCTTCTCAGGACACAAGAAGGTGCCGTTGGCACAGGTGCTGCGGAGGGAAGGAAGAGACAGGAACCCCAAATTACTAGGACCTGAGCACCTTGGGACAGGCTGACCTGCGAGATGCCTTACTGTGCATGCGCCCGCCCATCATCCAGCCATCGCTTCGCCTGCACGCCACTTTCTCAGACGAACACCAAGCTCCAAGCAGCTCAGGAAACAGAAAGGCAGTTCAAATTCAGGCACCGCAAGAGCATTTCGCGGCGAAAAGCACAAGGTCAAGAGCGGCAACACACAAAACAACGAGAACGTTTCTGTGCCGTAAACGCATGGAACAAGATCACAGTCACAAAGCCCAGCAGCCGGAAAGGCAAGGGAGAACGGCAGCTCCACTTGGATCCCAGAAAAACCTCTTCCACAACATTGCCCTCTCGACTCTTCAAGAAACCAAAGCGAGAGACTTTTCCATACAGTGTGGGGGAAATTTGTGGACTATTTGAAGAATTATCGTAAACAACTTAAATCGTTAGCAGGGTTGATGTAAAAACATGTGGCAAAAACAAGTTAAAGGGAATATAAAAGGAAAAATTAGTAAACAGGTTTGAACTGGATAGGCAGTGGTAAAAGATATAACGTACGTAATAATGGAAAATGGGGACAGGAGTCGATTTGAAGATATGCTTGACTATGCAAATGTTTTCTTTGTTAAAATATTTGTAAAATGGAAAGTAAAACGGGGGGGGGGGAGTTTGCGACTTGATTTAAATTAGAACATTTAAGAAGTTAAATTCTCCAAGGTTTCCTGGCCAGGGAATGTGACCCCTTCCACCCCCCCCAATTTGACCCCTTACCAGTTGTGGCAATCCAGCTCCACCGTCTGGCCTGGCATGACCTCCAGGGTGATGTTGGCCGTGGGGAGTCCACAGCGGCAAGCCGGGATCGGAACGCAGGCCCCGTCCTGGAGGAGCTGTCCGTCAGGACACCGGCATCCTGGGTGTGGAGGGGAGGGGGGGAGAGGAGGATGAGGAACTGGCCTGGCGAGAGAGGGACGTTTCTTCTGCCCCTTTGGAGGAGGGCAGTTTGGGTTCTGACACGAAGGGTGTGGATGAGGCCGTGAACAGAGGGAATTCCAAATCACAAAAGGTACCTCCCACTTCTTCATGTATCTCACAGTTACTCTCTGGAACTCATGGCCACAAGAAGCTGGGAATATGGCTCTAGCAAGAATATGGATTTTGGGATGAATTAAAGGAGTGCAGGCTCCTCCTAGCCAAAGATGCACAGTCTCTTAAGAGTGGCAGCCAAAACAATCGGGATGACGGAGCAATGCCCCTATGAAGAACGGTTGCAGCATTTGGGGCTTTTCAATGAAAATGATGTAAAACCAAATTGTTCAAAAAGGCAGGTAGTGAAAAAAGAAAGGAAGGGAAAGCGCAGTACTCTTAAATGCCATTTCCTTAAAGGCTGCATTTTAATGTTGTATTTTAATATTGTTTTTGAAGTTGTATTTCAATCAACTTGTTTTTATTATTGGTTGTTAGCCGCCCTGAGCCTGGCCTTGGCTGGGGAGGGTGGGGTATAAATATTATTATTATTATTATTATTATTATTATTATTATTAAAAAACCCAAGCAGACACACACAGAGAGCCTGGGATAGCTCAATTGGTAGAGCATGTGGCGCTTAATCTCAAGGTCGAGGGTTTGACCCCCACGTTGGGCGAAAGATTCCTGCATTGCAGGGGGTCGGAATAGATCAGGGGTTGGACTACGTGACCCTCGTGGTCCCTTCCATCTCTACAATTCTATGGAAAACCTGGCGGAATGAAAATATATTCACCTGTCAGCAGAAGGGCAACAAGGAGGGAACCAGTGTGAGACGAAATCCGGGACTGGGCAGGGTTGGCGTGGGGGGGGGGCAGAAGGAGGGGCGTTACCTTGCTTGCAGTCCCCATGCAGACACTCCACATGCTCCCAGAGGTCTGCGCAGGTGCGAGGGCAGCTGTTGGCGCAGGACGGGGCCCGAACTTTGCCCCGATCTTCACATTCCTCTCCTGGGAGAAGGGAGGAAGAACAGCCCCCGGGACCATGAGAAAGTGGCACTTCTGGGTGAATCTTTTAGACTTGGGAACTCCCTGCCTCTTGACACCAAACAGGCACCTTTGCTGTACAGTGGGACCTCGGTTTCTGAACGTAATCCGTTCCAGAAGACTGTTTGAGCTCTGAAACGTTTGAAAACGGAGGTGCAAAGGGCGGCCTGCAAACTCAATTGAGAAAAATAACATACACATTCAGCGGACGCCGTTCGACTTCTAAGGCGTGTTCGAAAATGGAAGCATTTACTTCCGGGTTTACGGCATTCGAAAACCGGAACGTTCGTCAACGGAGACATTCAAAAACCGAGGAACCACTGTACTCTTTGCAGCACGTGCTGAAAACGTTCTTGTTTAGATGGGCCAAACTTGATGCTTAGAAAGTTGGTGTGAATTTTAGCCCGTCTTGGTATTTTCATTTTTTTGGGATATGTTTTAAAGTATTGCAATTTTTTCTTGCTCATACTGTTGTTATCTTTTTGCAAACCACTTGGGTTTTTTCTTTCTAAACAACCAGGTGGCCTGGGAATCTTATGAAGTAAGTAAATAAGTGAGTTTTAGATTCGTTTCTGATTGTGTTCACACCAGGCGTGTCGAGGTCTAGATTCCTGGATAAATGACAAAGGGAGGAGAGAACCATCAACGGCTACTAGCCCTGGCCCCGCAGTTGGGTGGCAGCAACACTTCCGGAAACCGAAGGAGGAGAAAGAGCTTTCACGCTTGAGTCCTGCTTTTGTGTTTCCCACAATAGGGCACCTTCAGGGTTGGCAAAACACAAGCGCAGGATTTGGTCTTCTGCCTGAAGCCATGGAAAGCTGCTGCGGGTCAGTGCAGACAACACTGAGCTAGATGGACCAATGGTCTGACTGTTAGAATTCCTGCTCCATGATTGCAGTCATGGGATTGTTATCTTTCACATGACGGTATATGTTTTGACTCCACAAAGCGGGAAGTGACAGAGACAGGATGTTTGTGTTCCTGTGTTCCGTGAAGGGGGACTATTGTCCTTTGTCCTTTTGCTCTTAGTTGTGTGATGCTAGAGAGAGGGAGCCATGTTGCAGTGCTCCATGTGTGTGTTTATATGTAAATAAAGTGGATTAGCCAAAATGCTGAGTTGCTGAGGTCTGTTACACATGATGCACAAACTCTGCGGATCCCTAAGTGTGCCGGTGTCTGTTGGCGTCGGTCGCTGTGATGTTCGGGTAGAAGAAAGCTTTTGAAGCTCCCAAACGATCGAGCAGGAGGGAGGGAACATGCCAGTTGGGCATGTGTCTCTGCCAGGGTCCTACTCGAGAGTAGGACGAGCTCCTGACACTGACTTGGTCCAAGGCAGCAGTTTCCTCCATTTCCCAGCCTTTCGGGGATTTCCCCCCCACTTCCCAGTTGGAGTGAACGTACCTGGGCAGGCGGCCGTGTTGCAGCTCTCGGACTGGGACCACGCTCCGTGGCACCGGGTCTCTCCTGATGGGTGACGGGCGTAGCGCTGGCGCGTGCGGAACCCCCCGCTGCAGGGCACACGGCAGGGGCTCCAGGAGGTCCAAACGCTCCACAGGCAGAAGTCTGGAAGGGAGAGGAGGAGCTGCAGATAGTGGCCTTGCAGGGGGGACGGGACTGTCTCAGCCGCCTCCGCTGCTGCCCTCCCCCACCAAAAACCCCTCTCCCACATTAAGGACCATGAAAATGCAGATTTCTCTACTCCTGGACCCATACAGGCGTTTGGGGACCTGAAGGAGCGTCTTCACCCCCATTGCTCAGCCCGGACACTGAGGTCCAGCGCCGAGGGCCTTCTGGTGGTTCCCTCCCTGCAAGAAGTGAAGATACAGGGAACCAGGCACAGGGCCTTCTCGGTGGTGGCACCCGCCCTGTGGAACACCCTCCCCTCAGATGTCAAGGACATAAACAACCATCTTAGGAGTCAGCAAACTTTTTCAGCAGGGGGCCGGTCCACTGTCCCTCAGACCTTGTGGGGGGGCTGGACTATATTTTGGAGAAGAAGGGAAAAAAATGAATGAATTCCTATGCTCCACAAATAACCCAGAGATGCATTTTAAATAAAAGCACACAATCTACTCATGTAAAAACATGCTGATTCCTGGACTGTCTGCAGGCCAGATTTAGAAGGCGATCGGGCCAGATCCGGCCCCCGGGTCTTAGTTTGCCTACCCATGAACTATCTGACTTTTAGAGGACATCTGAAGGCAGCCCTGTTTAGGGAAGTTTTTAATGTTTGATGTTTTATTGTGCTTTTAATATTCTGTTGGGAGCCGCCCAGAGTGGTCGGGTTTAAATAAAAAATATATTATTATTATTATTATTAACTCCTCCCAGTCAGCACAGCTGATGGGATTTGTGGTCCAAAACATCTTGGGAGCTCAGTGTTGCCTTGATTCAGGGCGCTAGACATGACAAAGAGCTATTTTATATATTGATTAAAAAAAAAACCAATCGTTTTATTATTTATACCCGCCCATCTGGCTGGGTTTCCCCAGTCACCCTGGGCGGCTTCTGACACACATGAAAATGTAATAAAACATAACAATCTAATCCAATGCAAAAAAGTCGCAATGACTTTAATGATAATACCATTTGAACCCCTCCTGTGAAATATGCTGCCATTTGAATTATTAGTAGCTTCTCAGCTTTGCGAGAATGGCACAAGGCCATATCCTGACTTTTATGAACAAAGCAATATTTTTTAAAATGTTGTTACCGCTCAACCTGAATAAGAAATGTTTCTTCAAGGGTGTGTGAATGAAACGCCTCTCCTACATGCGTGCTTGGTTTTCAGTTTGATTCAGTTGCAATTGTTTTTTATTTTTTGTTCTTGAATGTTATTTTGTACAAGTGAATTTTTTTTATTAAAAAAAACAAGCAGAAAACCTTCGCAAATGTGAGGATCCGGGCAAAGGCGTTCCTGATCCAGCTCGGCTGAGCACAGAGTGGCCAGTCCTGTCCAGCTTCTGCCCGTCTGAGGGTCCAGGCAGAGTCGGAAGCGGTGCTGGACGGACACCAGAGCAGGCCAGGGGTCTCCTTCTGCAGGGGACCAGCTGAGGGTGGAGACCCCGCTGGGGCCGAGGGCCACGAAAGGCAGGCAAGAGGAGCAGGATGTCCACTCCGACCAGGCGCTGACTGGAAGCAGACCTGAGGGGGGAAAGGAATCCGAGAATGGTAGAGTTGGAAGGGACCCCAAGGGTCATCTAGACCAACCCCCTGAAATTCAGGAATCACAGCTAAAGGATCACTGACACATGGCCACCCAACCTCTGCTATAAAATCTCCAAGAAAGGAGAGTCCATAATCTTCTGAGGGAAACCACTCCACTGTCAAACACCTCTTGATGTTGAGTCGCAATCTCCTTTCTTATAACTTGAAGACATTGGTTCGAGTCCTACCCTCTGGAGCAGGAGAAAAGAAGCTTGTTCCATATTCCAGGTGAAAGCCCTTGAGATATTTGAAGATGGCACTCATATCTCCTGTGAGTCTCCTCTTTTCCAGGCTAAACATCCCCACCTCCTTCAACCATTCCTCATCAGGCATGGTTTCCAGACCCTTGACCATCTTGGTCTCCCTCCTCTGCACACCTTCCATCTTTTCAACAATGCTTTTGAATTCTGGTGCTGGAGGAGACTCTTGAGAGTCCCATGGACTGCAAGAAGATCAAACCTCTCCATTCTGAAGGAAATCAGCCTTGAATGCTGACTGGAAGGACAGATCCTGAAGCTGAGGCTCCAAGACTTTGGCCACCTCATGAGAAGAGAAGCCTCCCTGGAAAAGACCCTGATGTTGGGAAAGATGGAGGGCGCAAGGAGAAGGGGACAACAGAGGACGAGATGGTGGGACAGTGTTCTCGAAGGCACCAGCATGAGTTTGACCAAACTGCGGGAGGCAGTGGAAGACAGGAGAGCCTGGCCTGCTCTGGTCCAGGGGGTCACGAAGAGGTGGACACGACTAAACGACTAAACAACAACAACAACATGACTTCCCTTGATCTGGACACTAGACTTCTGCTGACGCAGCCTAGAATTGCATGATGTTAGTTTTTTCCTTGCTGCTGCATCACACGATTAAAAGGGGACTCTTGAACCCTAGAGGAGACCTGGGGCAACAAGGTCTGGAGTCCTAAGGACTTGAGAGAAGATTTCTGCCTCTCAGGACAGGCTTCTGCAAAGCGATTTGTGTGGGCATGCGGAGAGGCTTGCCCAGGTTCAGCATGCAAAGATCTGGTGCAAAAACCCATGATCTCCGATTCCCAACATGGCTTGGCATGGTTCCTCCCTGGCCAGGCGCAGTCTACCCCGGGACAGTGAGGGGCGGAGCTTCCCTGGGAAAAAGTGCTCACCTTGGCAGCCTTCGCTGCTGCACTGCAGCTCCCCCTGCTGGCAGATACTGCAGAGAGAAAGTCGCAGGTTAATCACAGGTTTGGAAGGGACCCCTAAAGGCAATCTAGTCAAACGCCCCGCAATTAAAGTTGTGTGAGTACCTTGAACTAGCCAAAATGACAGAACTCAGAAGAGATCACTCAGGCGACAAGGTGAAAAAAAGGAATGGGATTGCTTTAGAAACCACCTGACAAAATATGGTTCCAAAAACAATAATCTGTGGATTAACCTCACAGATATAAACTGTTTTT